CTGAATTAGGTGTAATCCGAACCAAATAGTTCATACCAATCTTAATATGGTTCGATGAAATTGGATTAGGGTCTAAGTGGTTCGGATCACTTAACCTATGGTTTGAACCTACTTGGGTTGGATTCAAGTCTAGAGAGGGAGATAAAAAAAAAAAAAAAATGAATGATTTGCAAGTGATCCAAAAGGGGGTATTTATAGGCAACAAGGTGTTTTTTTGGGTGGGTGTGTCTCTTCATCATTGGATACAACCATATATATATGTGTCTCTTCACACTGGACACATCCACTCTAATTGATTGCAATGGTTCACATGGTGTCTATTCACCAATAGACACATCCATTCCAATCGGTTGTAATGGTTCACATGAATAGTTATGTCTGTTGGTTTTGAGTTGCAACTCTTTAGAAACAGATGCAACCCTTTAGAAATAGATGCAACCCTTTGGAAAAAAAACTAAACTTTAATTTAAATTCAAAAACCAACTACCCATTTAAATAAGCCTAACCCAAAATTAAAGTCCTAATCCAAGATTTCATTTAGTAAAAAAAAAAATTGGACTTTACAATTAGGCCCAAGCCCAAGCCCAAGCCCAAATTTGGCTTATTTAAATTTCAATTGCTTTCAACATTTTTTCCATATGGAACAAACACTTCCCACATTTTGCATACCCATTTAGGCTTATCAAAATACCACACTTTGGAGCTAATTTTTCATTCACCCAGAAACGAATTTGAGAAAGTAAATATACCACGTTCATCTCCTTGCGGAGAGAAATGCGCTCGTCTAGAGATTCGCAAAAAATTATTAGCGGAATCCATTCCAAATCTCATCAAAGTTTATGTTTTTAATACTCCCGTTTCCAACATTAATTTATATTCATGTTTCGAGGTAAATGAATCTTTGGAAAGGTTTCATTAGGCGGCTCTATAAAAGTCTACCAAAATACTCGCTTCGTCCCATATTAGTTGTCGATTCTAAAAATTTTGAGTTAAAATTATCCAAATAGACCTCTAGTATAGGATATAGGTAGTATATAAGTATATTAAAAGAATATGACTAAAAATAATATCAAATGATTCAAAAATAAAAGGTGATAGTGAGTCAAATTTTTTTAAATTGATAACTATTATAAAACGAAGATAGTATATACTTATTTATTGTTTAGTCCTTGGCTTCACGCCATAGAATTCCAATTTTCCATTCATCAAATAATTAAAAATACTTATATAATGCATTATTATATATATAATATAATAACAGTTCACAAGTAATCCGAAGTGACATTTTACTTGTTTGTATGGATGCACGCGCGTTTATAGTTTTTCATTTTCCACCCAGCAAGTCTCCTGTGAACCATTGACAACGATAGGAGCTTTCCAACAATCATGATCATTCAAGTCGTGTTAAAATTCTGTGATGGTGGGGCTCCATTTTCTTAATTCAACTAATTCGTGGTTTCGCACCAACATTTTTGGAAGTGTGATACCTAGGATGTGCCTAATTCGTCCGTATTGGAAGATAAAAATGTACTGTAATATTTTTAATTTTTAAAAAATTCCTTTGACTCCACTTTTTTTTAATTAAAGCAAATGAAACCATTCCCTATCAAATGTGGAGTACAATTCATGCTGTTAAATGTAAAAACATTAACTTCATGCTGTTCACATCTCTCCTCTCTCAACGTGGTGGCATCACTTTTTAGGATTCTCCGCGTTGAATTTTTATATTTGGGCTCTCTACAATTGTCCGTGTACACCTCTATATCTTATGAAACCAACTAGGCAGTGCTATGCTATTGTATGCTCCGTTTTATTCATTGTTTGTCAAATCACTCGGATTAACATTATCTATTATATATGTGTACGTCTGATTTGGTATTTTTTTTTAAAAAAAAAATATAAAAAACATTAGTAACGACCTGTAACTAAAATTCTAACCATTACTTATACATGGACTATTGTTACTGAAGTAATTCACTTATGACCAAATTTATAGTATGACCTGCTTATAAAGAGATTTTCCAACTGTATTGTGTTTATATAAATTATTTTTGGATATTGTTTAAAATTGATATTTACTTTTTATACAAGAACTTAGTGAACAAAGTACAAAAGATTAGTAAATAATGTATTTTTATATCATTGCTAAAAAAAAAAATTTTAAAATCTTACACACAATTAACCCAAACAAAAAATATTGAAAACAGTAGACTATTTTAAGAAAAGTGAACCAATCAAATCCTATAAAATCTAGAAAATTTTAAATAAATAAATAAAGGATAAATTACACTTTCTTGTATCTTTTTCTCTATCTATTCAATTCGCTTAATTTTTCAAAAAAAAAAAAAAAAAAAAAAAAAAAATCTAGAAGATTTTTATTTTCAAATTAATAAAAATACTATATAAGGTAAGATGGTTATCATCAAATAAAATCTAAATCATTCTTTTATCTCTTTTACATATCTTTCATTAGATTTAGATAAGAAACAAAATTATTTTATATAATAACAATTGAAAAAGGTTTATTCGACCACCTATGATTAAAAATCAAACGATGCGACCTCACACGAGGATGATGTAGAGTGCAGCAGCACTTTAACGTTTCTACGAAGTATTTGACGACGTCAAGTGCCGACGCGGAGACGTGTACGAGACGTAATAATTGAAGAGCTGTGACGCGTGGCTCTTCCTAACACCAACACCTTTTTTTGAAGCTTCGCCACCGGCGATTTTCGTCCAATCAAAATAAAGTGGTCACAATCAAAAATAACGAGTGGAAAGTCCAATGAGATCTCTTCTTATAAATAAAATTAATATTTTTAAAAGAAGTCCAATTAGACATGAGCTGTGACCAGTCTAGTTTCTCTTTCCTCTCTCCACACACTCTCATACAAAAAGTAATAATAATAATAATAGTTAAAAAAAATAAAAATTCACCAAATACTACGTTGGCCAATGAGGTCAAGAAAATAAAATTCCCATTAATAAATACACAAAAATAAAAGAAGTTAGTTAAATATTTTTTTTACAGTGAAAATATTAAGTTGGTCAATTACGTGAACCTCGAGCTAATATTTAAAGTTGTTAGAATAGTCATTTTATTTACTTTTCCTCTGTTATCTCTCTACCCCTCTAAAACGCTCGTCCCTATTCTATTTTGCTCCATGCTCCCTTCCATAGAAGTGGGGAGGTGCCATTGTTGGCCTCTCACAAGTTAATAATCTTGACGTATTTTAATAAGTTCGCCTTGTGGGTGATTTTCACGTCATTTTTTGTTTTTGTGTGGCTAGATCTGCTCTTGTTTAGTTTGTTTCCACGTCGACAAGGTGGATCTGTTATTTCCCCTTCGGCCAAATTTCTGATATAGGTCGATTTTTGTTTTTCCCGACTTGATTTGATCTTGTACGGAATTGGGTGTGTGGAGGTGCCTTGTGAATGCAACGTTGGAATTGTTGCCTTGATGATGGCCTGATCTTTAGTCACTCCAATTACTACTATTCTTCTTTGGTGGTTTTGTTCCAGAACGGTGGCTCTTTTTCAACAAATCTGGAGATTGTTCTTCATTTTTTTTTTTTTTTGCTTCATGATTTATATGCCTTTATCTGACTTGACTTATGTCTCTGTACTATCACCTTAACTTGGCCTTTGTACCTTTCAAATAATAAATAAATAAATAAATTACGTGAATCCGGCATAAATTTAATTACACTCACTTGTTTTCTACATTAACTAGTTCATTTAATTTTTTAGTGTGCGAAATAAAGTAATTTATGACATTTAATGATGATGACGACTCAAGTCATCATTATTCTTTAAGAATGAAAAACAGAAATGGCAGTTAATTTATGATGAAAAAAATATCATATTAAATAAGTAAAAGTATATTACAGAAATTTAATTGTCGCAAAAGGTAATAAAAAAGACTACTACTACTCAAATGGCTAACAAATCCCCACCTTGCCTTTCCTTTTTCTATATATATCAACTCCCTTCTCTTTCAATCCAAACACACTTGCCAAATCATGTAATTGTAAACTTTGTGAGTTGTAACATAATATATAAAAGGTACAAGAGACAGATAGTGGTGGTCATACCCAAGCTTGTTAATTTATACTTCGTAACATCCGATTTGAGTAGCCTCAAGAGATAAATTTGATTCCCTAGCCAACTGTATTTTACGGACTTGTAGTTATATTTGAGGAATATATATATAGAATAATATTTTTCACATCAGTGAATAAAAAATTTATATTTGGTGTGAATAAATTTCTTATTTACTAATGTACAAAAGATCATTTTAGCGTGTATATATTTATTTATATGGTATTTGGAATCAAATCTTTGAGCGTGGCTTTTAATAAAATAAATTAAAATCTCACTTTTTGTAGATTTTTGTATTTTGAATACAAAAAAATTAAGATATTAAAATAGGATTATAGTTGAATGAATTGCAGTGTTTAATTTTTAAATCATTTGCCATTTTAAGGGAATTTCAAAACACTATTATATATTTTAAGTTTTGCATGCCTTTTCTTCAAATCCAATCCCTTTTCGAATGACATATCACTCGAAGTAATGCTTTTTCATGTTATATTCACACTTTACTTTTTTCAATAATTATTTAACCTAGTGAATAATTAATTTTCGAAAATTTAAACAATATATTTAACTGCCTTTGTAAAACACAGTTACAATTAGTTTGAATTAATATTATTTTTTGTAACTGAAAAACAAAATATTGCTTGACACTTGCTATTTTGTTGTCAAAACAAATATGATACAATTATATAGAGACCAAACAAAATTCGTTAACCTTATTGATGTAACCAAATATGGTACATTTATACAGAGAACAAACAGTATTAGTATAATCGTATTGATGTAAACAAATATATAATTGATAAAAACAAATATATATTTATAATTTATACATAAACCAAACAGTATTAGTATATTATAAACAGAGACGTAACTATATATAAACAGAACACCAAAACCAGAAGTTGACACAAACACACACACTAACGGCGGATGACCTCTCTTCTCGCCGTCCATTTCGTTCCCTAATATCCGTATCACACTATAACTACAACTTCTAGAGAGAGAAAACAAATCAAACTCCTAGTGGAGAGAGAGAATCACAAAACCAAAAACACCACCACCACCACCACCCCCGCCACCGCCACCCAAAACCCTCTTATCCCCACCATTCCGTCACAATTAATTTCTCCTCTCCGTCGTCCCATCACCACCTCCTCTCCGTCGTCCCATACTTCACTATCTCCTTCAAAATTTTATCAATTGGTTGTTATTATTATTAATTCTATATTGTTGCCCTCCGGCGATGTCAACCGGTGGCGCCGCTAACTCCTCCGCCAACGGCGGCCAACTTCCGGCCGCACCCACCACCCACCGCCGTCGAGTGGTGGATTTCACCACCGACGAGGAGAAATCGTCGGAATTTGTGGTAAACGGAGTTTACGGCGAGGATGAAATGAACGGCGGCGAACACGTGGGCGACCACCACCACCACCACTACTCGCTGCTCTGGTACCTTTTGCTGCGGAAAAAGGGGGCGGAGATTCCGGGAACGTGGTTGTTTAAGGTGGATGATTTGTTGCCGACGGTGTGTACGATCGCGGGGTCTCTAAAACCGCGGAGGAATACGCGCCGTCTGATCTTTGGCGCTTTGGTGATGATGGTGGCGTTCTCGGTGTTCGTGAAGTTCTCAGGTAGTAATGTGGAGGAGGGAGAGAAGAGTTCAGAGAATGGGCAGTTGAGTATGCAGGATCAGAGGGTTGTGTCCGATGGCGAGGTCTCCTCTGAAGCCGTTATGCCAAAGCCAAAGAGGTCTTTGGAGAATCTTGTTGTAAGTGAATACATTTCGTGTTTGTTTTTCTTATCCCTCTGTTTGGCTGCTGAGAAAAATAAGTAAGAGGAGGGAAATTTTTGAATTACTATATTTATATTTATGTGAGGCATAATTAAATGGAAGTTTTTGGATGACCCAAGATATAAATATGTAGATTTCCCTTAAATTTTCATGGCAATTTTGTGGGGGAATGGGAATTTGGTGGATGCCTTATGCACTTTTTCTTCTTCCTAAGTTATTAATTATTTTCATGGCAGTTTTGTGGAGAAATGGAACGAAGATAATTAAAAATTGATAATGGTGCTATTAAAAATTTAAACAAACTAAATTTTTTTGAGGCACTAGAGATGATTTTTATGGTTTTAGGCAGGATTTGGGATTTTGTACATACCCTTTTTCCCTTAACATTTCTAACCGTAATCTTCAACCGCATTCATTTATTTCATTTTGTGTCCTTCTATAATATATAGGTTTTTTTTTTTTTTTTTCCCTGGGTTGGGTGATGGCAGAGGTTGGAAATTTTTTAATTAAAAAGTACTATTTTTTTTTTTTACTTTTTTATAATTATGATGTATATTTCTTTTCTGCTAACCGTTTGCTTTTTATGGGAATTTTTTTTCCCCAAGTAATAATGACACTTATTTCATTTGATTGGAATCTCTTTTTTTTTTTTTTTTTTTTTCTTTTTCTTTCTTGGTGCTAATTATTGGGAATGATTTTTTTTCTATAAAAAAATGGATGTTTACTTCTGTAGAATTTGGAACGTTAGATTTTGTCCCTGACCCCACAAGTACTGGATTTGGAAACTAATAGAATACGTGTTAACAAATAGAGAATACGTGTTTTTTGACCGGGCTCGGTGGCTTTCTAATGATTAGTTGGACGTCGTAGTCTTTGATCCTCTTTTTCTTTGCACATTTTATGGACACTTACGATTTAGTATTGTGAATAATTTTTTCTTGTCACAATAAATTTTATTATTATATTTTTATATTTGAATTTCCAATTTTATTTATTTATTATTTTTTCCCCTTTTACCCTTATTTTGATGAATTTTTACTGTTTTCAAGTACTTTACTAGTCAATATTTTAATTTGAAAATTTTGGATACAACTCGCTCTCTTAGGGTGGTTTCAAGTCCTTAGAAAACTTGTGTGGTTTATTGTGAGCTTATTTCTTTTATTTGGTTACTTATTTATATAGACGGCGGAAATTTGGACAAGACCAAACAGTGATAACTATTATCAATGCGTTACCAGGCCAAGGAATCGAATAAGTATGTTCCACTTTCCCATTCCTCATTTTGTGATCAAACACCTTGTTTAAATTTCTCACACATATATATGTATACGAACTTCTTGTAGGGACTGGGACTGCAACCAATGGTTATATTCAAGTTCATGCCAATGGCGGATTGAATCAAATGAGAACTGGGGTAAGCTTCAATTAGAATTTTTTTTTTTTTAGTTATTTTTACATTTCCCCATCTCATATACTCTTAATCCTTACCTAAAATCTATGTTTGTTTTCAAATTCAGATTTGTGATATGGTTGCTATTGCAAAGATTATGAACGCCACGTTGGTTCTTCCTTGTCTAGACCATGATTCATTCTGGACAGATCCAAGGTATTGCTAACCTGTCGTGGTGGTTTGATTTTGATTAGAGCTTTATCACGGTTTCAATTTCCTAATATTTTCCGATACTTATTTGCAGTGATTTCAAGGACATTTTTGATTGGAAGAATTTTATTGAAGTTTTAAAAGATGATATCGAGATAGTTGAATCTTTACCGCCAAGCCTTGAGGGAGTGAAGACGCATGTAAAGGCCCCCATTTCCTGGTCTAAGGTCTGCAAACAATTTGAAATCTATTCAGATATTCCCTCTCTTTTCTCTATTATTGGAACATTATCTTATTATATAATTTCATTTGCAGTCAAGTTACTATAGAAAGGAGATGGGTCATTTGTTACAACGGCATAAGGTGATCAAATTTAGCCATTCCGATTCAAGACTTGCTAATAATGGACTTGCACCCTCTATCCAAAGGCTTAGATGCCGTGCCAATTACGAGGCTCTTCGATACACAAAGGAGATCGAGGAGCTTGGGAAGAAACTGGTTGACAGACTTTGGGAAGATGGCGAGCCATTTGTTGCTTTACATTTGAGGTACTCAATTCATCTAACATGAATCCGTTCGTCGTTGTCAATTATCAGTTAGTAATAACAGTAACTCAGTTCAATGATACTGACTGCAGATACGAGAAAGATATGCTTGCTTTCACTGGCTGCAGCCACAATCTCACCGCTGAAGAGTCAGAGGAGCTTCATACCATGAGGTACAATGTCAAGCATTGGAAGGAGAAAGAGATAGACGGCAAAGAACGACGACTCCAAGGGGGATGCCCCATGTCACCGAGGGAGGCAGCCCTATTCCTCAAGGCCTTGGGTTATCCTTCCACCACGACCATATACATCGTTGCAGGAGAAATATATGGTAGTAACAGCATGGCAGCATTCCGTAAGGAGTACCCAAAGGTTCTCTCTCACTCCACTCTTGCAACAAAAGAAGAGTTGGAACCCTTCAAGGACTATCAGAATCGCCTTGCTGCCTTGGACTATATTGTGGCACTCGAAAGCGATGTCTTTGTTTACACATATGATGGGAATATGGCAAAGGCAGTGCAAGGGCACAGGAAGTTCGAAGGGTTTCGAAAGACTATAAACCCTGACAGGTGTGTTATCATCCTAGGCTATGGTTATAATTTTTATAATTTATCTTCATTGTTTAGGTGGTGACAAAGTTTTCATTTTGCAGGCAAAATTTTGTGAAACTAATCGATCAGTTGGATGAGGGTGTTATAACTTGGGAAGAATTTTCTTCGGAGGTCAAGAGTTCACACTCGGACAGGCTTGGAGCGCCATATCCTAGACAGGCAGGAGAATCACCAAGGCTGGAGGAGAACTTCTATGCAAATCCTTTCCCTGGTTGTATTTGTAATAGATCTCAGGAGCAAATCAGTGGCCAGCCATTTATTGATCGGAGACCGACGACGAGGCTAAGGGGGGTTGCCTCACAAAAATAGTGATTTGCATTAAATATACGGCTTCCCACTGTAAAGTAGAGGATATAAGTACACCTTCCTTCCACATGGGTTCGTTTTTGGAAGGAATTGATTTTTTTTTTGGGTCATTCAGGAGGAGATCATTAGAAGTCTCAGGTTACAGGTGCAAGTTCCATTTTGTTTTTATTTTTTCTTGTATAGATTAATAAAAGCAATGTGGGAAAGCAGAAGCGGTCATATTATAGATTTTAATACAACACAGGTCAGGAACATGGCATAGGGACCTTCTCCCGGATAGATGTGGAGTACCATTTATTGATTTATTGGTTATTTTTTATTCGAATCCAATTGCGAAATTGTGCGTGTAATATTTGATTGAGAAATCATAGTATAAATTCATTAGTCTTTTTCTATACTCCAGTTACTGAAACCTTAGCTACCAACAAAGGATTTTGTTGAAACACACACAAACATACATTGAATGTGAGAGTATAGATAGGACTACTGTGATTTCTACAAGTCTCTCAGAAAATCCCAGATTGTTTTCTTCCCTGGCTTCTAACACTACAATTTAATTAGGACCTCATATAAGTACTTGTCATTTGGTAGTCCACTTTTACAGGAAAACAACACCATGCTTTAAGGATGACAACCATGAAATGATAAAGAGGCGAAAATTAGGCCACAGAAATTATTAGCCATAAGAATCACAGTGGTGATAATGGACAAGAAATTAAAGATGTAACAACATGGCATGTAAAAGCCAGGGAAATCCATCATAAACCAACATTGAGTGCAGACCATTAGACATGCTTCATGATGGACTTCTGCAAATAGTTAGACAAGTTATAAGCATCAAGAAAGGTTGAGTAGACTAATCTCAATTGTGGGTGTGTGTGAAGTCATTTGAGAGAGAACATACCTAATATACACATGGAGAAAAAAACATCTAAAGGTACCCAAAAAAAAGGATCATTTTTAGCTCCATGCAAAGTCCTTCCAACTTTTGGATGCTTCACAAACTCCTGGCAACAAGAAAATAATAATCAATCTGTGGGATCTGTACATTGAGATATACTCGTTAAGATAGAGATAAATTGTGCCTCGATTTCAAGAAGAATAATATACAATTCACCTAAAAATGCACATCTTATCAATCAACACCAAAAAGTGACATGAATTGAAGTTTAAAACTAACAAGGTAGGCCAGTGTACAGTTTGTGTCTTTCCCTAACCATAAGCCCTTACTCACCTTCATCAAAGACACTTATAAAAACATTGGGAGGACATATAACATACCTGCTCCTGAACAGGATTACCATGTCATGTACTAAGACTTGGCCATGCATACCAAGGTCTACCACATTGAAGGCACATAAACCTGTTCTTTCAGATTCTGGGTGGCGCTCTCTGTAGGAAAACCTCTCACTGCACCTATTGTCCACTGTGATATAATCCCAGCTGCAATTGCAAAACGAAGTTGCCTCTCCAAAGTATCTTGATTATCATACATATCAGGCTGAGTGGTCAGCTTTCTCATGATACCTGCCACAACAGCATCCCCAGAGCCAGTCCTATCACAGGTGAATGGAGTTATGAGCACATCTTCAGTTCCCACCGCCACTCCATCAAAAGAAGGGGCGTAGTAATGAATCCGCAGCGTCCCATCTGTCACGAATAAAAACTTTAGCTTATCATGCCACAATGGGGAGATTTCTTCACGGGTGTAATGATAGTAATCTCGCCGGTGCTTGGTCTGCTCATAATCCTGAGCATAGTATTGAGGCCTATAATTCCTCCTCCTCTCGTAATGCTCTTCATCTAGAAGAAATTCTAGCTCTTGCTTTGTCACCTCAATGATGTCTGCTTGTTCCCAGGCTGGCTTGATCGATTCCCATGTCTCATCACGTGATTTCCATAAAGGCAAGGGCAGATTCAAATCAAAAAATATAAGGCCGCCAAACTTTTTCGACCATGCAATTGCTTTAAAAAGGGTAGATTGCATAGAAGAAGATGTTAGAACTTCTGAATTGAAATGGAACATTCTGGCCTGCAAAAGTTAAACAAAGAAAAACTACACATTTAATTAACAAACTTAAATCACCTGATTTATATCTCAAAATTTTCATTCTTTTGCAAGCACACCATCTACTTTCACCATCTTAAAAAAACAAATGTTCATTGCTGAATAAACTAAGAAATCATTTGCAAGAATAGTACTAGCATAAATTTGATCATGAGTAAATATGAATTGTTTCTCTTACAACTGATACAATGAGAATCTCCATATGCCTAAAGCTTAAATTTTCAGAATCAAGGCACAACAGGGTAGTCTTTTGAGCACTATCTTTCTATAGAAACGGTTTGCAAATGAATAATTGGAAATTTCTTCATAGAAACTACCCATAAAGAATGATTTGAACCCCTCAATGAAAAACTACACATTTAATTAACAATCTTAACTCACCTGATTTATATCTCAAAATTTTCATTCTTTTGCAAGCACACCATCTACTTTCACCATCTTAAACAAACAAATCTTCGTTGCTGAATAAATTAAGAAATCATTTGCAAGACCAGTTCATGTATAAATTTGATCATGAGTAAATATGTTTTGCTTCTCTTACAACTTGATGCAATGAGAATCTCCATATGCCTAAAGCTAAAATTTTCAGAATCAAGGCACAACAGGGTTAGTCTTTTGAGCACCATCTTTCTATAAAAACGGCTTGCAAATGAATAATTGGAAATTTCTTCATCGAAACTAACCATAAAGAATGATTTTGAACCCCTCAGTATGAATTTGGGTAGGTCATAACTTCTACAGTCGCAATGCTCAATCAACAATTAATGTACATATCAAGAACATTTGGATTAAAAACTGCTACAAGCCTACAAGTATATTAGCCACAAGTTATATATATCATTGAGTAATGAATTGTGCATTACCTCTTTAAGCACAGCAAGGTTCAATTCAGAACTAAGTAAAGAATCTTCAGCTGATTCTTTAGCCATCTCCACCCTCATCTTGCCCTCATCAAACTTGATCTTCATATAAGCACAACTCGTCTTCACATTCTTATCAAACTTCACTGCCCGAGTCTGCACTCTCTCTTTATTCATCATCAAAACCAACTCTTCCCCAAACTGATCATTCCCAACCTTCCCCATAAACGCCGCCCGGCCACCAAGCCTCACATGTGATATCGCGACGTTCGAAGGGGGCCCACCGGGCGCTCTCACGAACTCCGGCGGGTTCCACTGCAGCATCTTCCAATGAGAGTACATGTCAGGATGCATTTGCTCTTCGGACACACGCACAGTGGGCACAAACTCCTTTTGTACAGCTCCGAAGCAGCATATCAATGGCGGGTCTTCGTACGGAAAATCAATCCCATCATCATAGTCCTCTTCGTCAGCTATCAAATTTGCTAAATCTTTTAGGGTTTCTTTTGGGTTGGTGGCTTCAATTGAGCTATTCTGAATCTGTGTTTTGGGTGAACGTTTTCGCTTTGTCGTTGTTTCTGTTGAAGATGATGATGGGACGGTGCTCTTTTTGCGACCTCGGCGAGTGGGTTTTGGGGGATCATCAACTTCTTCTGGAGAGTTGTTAATGTCGCCATGGATGGATGATTTTGGTGGCTTTGTTTTGTGAAATTTGGGTGTGGGAATGAACCAGTTGGTTGTAATTTTGAATTGGGTTTGTGAGTTTGGGGATGAAGAGAGAGAGTGTTGAAGGTGGGGATGAGGAAGAGGTGACTGAAGTAACAGCTGAAATGTTGCCATGGCTAAATGTTAGGGTTTATCCATATCCATATGTCCCCGTTATATCTAGAATTTTGTTTTGAACTCTTGGGTCGGGTTGTGGTTGATGTATCGGGCTCAGTATGGGTTGTGTAACGGGTTGATGGTAGGGCTGCAAGTTGGGTTGGCCCAACCCAACCTCAACCCGAATCGGGTTGGGCTAACCCGAATTACACCCAACATGGGTTGTAGTCATAACCCGAACTGAATTTTTTCGGGCGGGTTGGGTTGGGTCAGGTTGACGGGTTATGATTTTTTTTTTTTTTTATTATTTTTTTTGGGGAAATTTATATATATTATATATATATGTATATTATATATTTTTTGTTATATTATTATTAATATATATATATATATATATATTTAGGGCAAATCGTTTCAGCCTTACCAATCGCCGCCTCCATCTCTCTTCACGTTCTCAACTCCGAACTTGCCTTCTCTCTCTCTCTCTGCAACTGCAAAGTACTAAATCTACAAGAATCAGAATTTCAAAACCTATATATTTCAGTTTATCTATCTGTTGCAATAATCAAAAGTTCAAAACCTATTACCTATATCAAAACCCAAATCGGCATATCATTTCAGATTGTTCAAAAAATCAAAACCCATATCTTTCAGTTTCCATCGCCCGCTGTTCCAGTTCGGGTTCGCCGTTCGCAAGCTTCAGCCGCTGTCTCTCAACTCTCAAGCTTCGCCCATGGACGGCGGCAGAGAGAGAAAGAGAAAGAAAAAGAAGAGAGAGAAAGAAAGAAAGGAGAAAAAAAAAAAAAATTAAGCCCCTCTCAACTCGCAAGCTTCGCCCCCTCTCAACTCGCAAGCTTCGCCCATGAATGGCCGCAGAGAGAGAAACAGAAAGAAGAGAGAGGATGATGAGAGAGAGAGTTAGCGAAGAGAAGAGAAGGATGATGAGAGAGAGTGTTAGCGAAGGATGAGGAGAGAGAAAGTTAGGGTTTGTTATATGTGTTTATCGTGGATTTTTTTTTTGTTTAAAATTTTTTTTTTTTTATGAAAGGTTTAATTTGGGTTCTCGGGTTGGGTTCGGGCACCCGAACCCAACCCAAACCGAATAACCCAAACCGAATAAGGTTGGGTTTTGAAAAAATCCAACCCGACTTAAACCCGAATTGTGAATTTATATGTCCAAATTTTAAAATTTATGGGCTGAACTCGGGTTGGGCTGGGCTAGCCCGCCCAAGTTGCACCCCTAGTTGATGGGGACGATTTCGAAATCCAAACAAAAACGACTTTGTGGGTTGGATTAAGTTTTATTATTTGGGCTAATGGGGAGTGTTTGTTTTTGTCTAGGCCCATATGGGCCTCGGTCTTCATCACCGTTTTTTATTTATAAGCTCGGTTTTCTCCATCCTTTCATTCAACTCTTGTAGTAGCGCCGCCTACCGTCGTCGTCTCAATTCTAGGGTTTAAGTTCTCAAATCAGATCGGTCATTATTGTGATTCGTTGTAGACTCGGTTTTTACTTCTAACACTAGTTAATTATATGATTATTTCATTCGTCCTCTGTGTATATGCTTTCATATACCATTGTTTTGTGATTTTTATAGTCCTATTTTATATCTGCTAATCTTTTTTTCTTTACAACTTAGCGTATAAGATGTTATTTTTTAATTGCTTTAGTTATGTGATTGTTATAGTCCTATTATATACTACATATGAAAGGAAATATATTGGTCATAGAAAATATGGTTTTTGGGTACCGAGACTGAACCCTATATCTTGTAAAATTTGGAACCCTTTTTCTTATTCATCCTAGCTTCCTTTGTTATCCATGTGATCTGATTTCTAGTGGAGAAACTTGAGAGGGAAAAAATTATGCTTTTTTAATTATTTTGGAACCCTTTTTGTTTACTATTATTTTTATAAAAAAAATTCTTTAGCTTGCTTACTGTTCCTCTTGTTCTTTTCGGGTATTGGATCCATGATGTTTTGAAAAAACTGCGTTATCTATCTGTAATTTCCTCAAAAGGATTGAAGATAGTCATACAATTCTGAGATTCAGTTACTCCCCGCATATGCTTGAGTTTTTTGTTGGTATTTTTTATTTATTTTTTTATATCCTTGCAGTTAATCCTTTATGCCCCTTTGTGAAACTATGTAAAGGTTTTCTTATCATAAGACAAATTTTACGTACAATATGATTGTTTTGACTATATATATGTTCACTCGACACAAGTGTTTCAGCTCTTAGGTTGTGAATTGTCATCATTCTTCTATAATCCGATTAGGATCCTTCAGTATGGATGCAATCACATATAGATATTTTTTCCCTTTTTTTTACTGATTTTTTGCTTAATGAGGTCTAAGGGTTTTAATGAGCATCAATGATGATTTTCTTTCTTTGTTATCCTTGCACTTTGATGGCCAGTGAAGAAAATTACGGGGAATATTTTGTCTGAGATGCTCTTTGTTTTTGTTTTTTTTTTGTTTTTTTGTTTTTTTTTTCAGGTATTTACTTTTTTTTGCCTTAAGTTTAACTTTATTGTTGTTAATTTCACACATATTCATCATTGTGTGAAATCTAATATACTTGTTATCTTGCCTTCCTCTCGTGGGGATGAGACTCTCTTTCCCTCTCCATTCTTTCCTTAAAAGAGGAGTGCTAGCGGCTACCACTCTTAATTTTTTTATTATGTATGTTCAATCTGATTATTTAGAACAATAATTTTATTTAGAATCATAATTTGTTCATGCTTTTGAAATATGTAATTGGTTCAAAAAATCTTGGACTGTTGTGATTAGTTGAAATCTTCTTGGACAATCATAATAGTTTCTGTTGTGCTTGGGTTTGATCAATGATGTTAGTAAAAAAAACTGCGTTATCTATCTGTAACTCCCTACAAGGGATTGAAGATAATGATTGTAAATTACTGAGATCCAAAAGTTTCCTACTGCAAATATATATATATTTTTGTTAGAATTGTTCTCCCAATTTCATGTTTTGGGTTCCTCTTGTAATTTCTTCTAGTTCTCCTTACTCTCTTCCCATTTTATCCTTTTTTTTTTTTTTTTTTTTTTGTGTGCGCGCGCGCGCGCAAGTCAGATGCATATCCCAACAATTGCCTCCTGTTTACACAATCTTGATAGACATTTGCCATTTTTTCTTATCTAGATGGTGCATAAGATAAATGCATAAGCTTTTTCCCCCCTTTTATTTGTTTTGTTTTTTTATTTGTTTTGGTGTTGCCTTTTTCACCAACCGCATCGGGATGTCTTCTACAAACCTTAGTTTGCATTAGTGGAATTGTGCTAAATCATTTTTTGATAAGAGTGATTGTAAATGTCAATTCTTGTTCTGTCCTCTCGCCCTTCCATTGCAATAATTTGGCCGATGTATAATGATAATGTCTTCTGGGCAAAGTTACTCTAGCTCTTGAATTTACCATTTTGGATACTTTTATTATTATTGTTCTTGGAATATTGGTGCATTAGATGTTAGAAGAGTCCATGAGTAAACATTCTACCCATAACAAGAATTTACATTCCCTTGAAAATATGTCATCCCATTGTGGTGTCAAACCTAGAATCTGAACCAAACACTACCTCAATTTGGTTGAAAAAAAATGGAAAGAAAGGAAATAGAGATATATTTTTTTTGTTTGAATAAAATCTTGGGAAAAAGGGAATGGAAGGATTTGGAAAGAAATTAAAATTTGATGGGTTGGTTTTGTTATTGGGCTCTGCTAGTTTTCCAAAGTTGCAAGATATTCAAATTTCACTCGTACTATGTAAAGTGTGCAAAAAAGGTCTTTGGTATATATATAAAAATACATTATAGAGTATGTGCTGGTCATGTGATCTCTCTACCTTTTGTGTGTTTTTAACATTGTCCCTCGATCTGATCAAAAAGCTATATTAGTAAAAAAGACTCACTATAATCACTAACCAAGAAACTTTTGTCCAATGTGGCCGATGCCAAATTGTCCAAGCAAGCTTCTTCAAACTCTGCTCAAAAATCCCAACTTGCCATGAGGATTTCGGCTTTACTCACCCAATAAAATCTTTATTCCATCCCGTTTTCTCACACATTCAATTTTGAAATTTCATATAAAAAAAACTCTAATCTTCCTCCTTAAAGAATTTTATGCCCAAATACGATCTGAATTTGGTTTCGGGTTGTGTTGCGGGGTAAGGTCACCTCCTCCCATATTCTAAACCCTAGTAGGTTTTTATTAATGGAAATTATTTCAACCCAAATAAACTAAATGGTCTTCCAAAATTGCTATAAACGGTGCAATTTTGATCCGTTCAGAAAATAATTAAAATATGGATTGAAACATAAAATCCAATAATCAATTAACTAAATAAATTGAATATAAATTATTCTTGATTTGGGGTGAAATGACATTTAAGGCCTGCATTTGTTGGTTTTAAGCCCCTGGCACCCTTGTGGCTCATTTGTCACCTAAGTATGGCCTAAACTTTGACAGATCAATAGTGTTTTTTTTTTTTTTTTTTTTTTGTGAAAACGATACATTAAGAAAAAATCACTAATTTTAGCTCGTGGGCTTTTGAAGGTTTTCTGAAAACCTTCAAAAGAGTGAAACAATTTGTAGAAGGAAATTCGTTATCAGCAATTCATAGATATGACGTTTAATCCACCATGGTTATTGCTTGAAAACTAAGATCTAATGAATGTCCATTGCTTGAAAACTAAGATCTAATGAATGTCCAAAGAGGAGAACCAATGACAATGTTAATTTTGCCGTACTTAGTCCTAATCTATCATAATACACTACATGAATAGCCTCCAGCACCACCTCTTACTCCTCTCTCTCTCTCTCTCTGTCTAAATCAATTACCGCCGGATTTCATCACAATTGTCTAAATCCCCCACGGCCGTGCGACGAAATTGACGATGGCCTAGAGTTTCAATTGCAGCTTTAATTGCAACTTAGTATCGATTCTGGTGTAAACTATGGATCGAACGTTCAAAACCCACCAACATTCTCTCGTCATTGTCCATGTTATGTCGATTTTAGATGTTTTCATGAAGGAAGGGGCAAAGTAGGTATCAGTTCGGCCTAGGCTTTGATTTTATTGATTTTAATCGATAGTGTGGGTCTCTGTAGAGAGAGGAAGCTTGATGAACAGAGACAAGGAGTATGGTTTCGTTCTATTAACCCCCAAACAGAGTTTTTGGTTTGGTTCCTCGTGATTTTTGTTTGGGTTGAAGGAATAATTCAAAACTATGCCATTTCTAGTTAGTCTAGGTAAGTCCAACTTTTTGGTATTTTTTATTATATTTCTTATCAAAAAAATGGAAAGGCATTTTAGACTTTATATTTGAGAAGGTGGAATTTGAACATAAGGGGGTAATGCAACTTTTTCAAACTTTTATTTTTTTGACAAATTAGGCAATGGGCACTCAAATACAGTCATTATTAAAATAAAAATAAAAATTTGTAAGGCAATAAAAGGTGAGGTTCTCATTTTAATGAAACTTTTTAATATCAAATTTGTGCTTATATTTTATAACAGGCAAAATCAAAACTAAACATGAATTTTATTAAAATAGTTCACTTTCTTTTCTTTCTCCAATTAATCAACCAAACACATCACCATTCTCTTTCCTTTCTTTTCCCTTATCCTTTCTTTTCTTTTTCATCATACCAAACATAAATTTTTAACTTTCTAATTAAAAGTCTAAAATGATAGCAAGGAAATTAATAAAAAAAAATCAAAAATTAAAAATTATATCATAAAATATAGATAACCATGTCCAGCAGGATTTTAGTGGCATCATTTTATATTTTCTTCCAAATTCTTATTTCAATTATAATACAACTAAACCTGTCCCAAAACGAGGTAAGATGCAATTGTCATCCATAGTCTAACTTTCAAAAAAATTAATAAGGAAATTTTCCAACAATATAGCCCCTTTATCCTGCTTCCACCCACATTTTTTACAGCCAAGCAAATGGTTATGTATGACAGCATGAGTTTCTGCAGAATCTAGTTTGAGTATTAAGTAAGTAGTCACTTGTCTAGCATAGATCATCTAGAACTGGATGGTGGTATTTAACTCAATCAAGAAATGAATCCTTGCTTCTTATTCAACGATCAAACATCAGAATAACAAAAAATGTTGCAAATATTAAAAATTCTTAAAATTGCTTAAACTGGTACAAGCTGTGATAAACATACACAACTTACCCCAAACACTAGAAGAACAGAATGTAGAAATAAAATAAATCATTACTGGAACAGGGAGAGAAAGGGCAACATCAATATTGACTGTATAACTTCATTCATGCTTTGTTAGTATAAAAAATCAAAAAGAGGTATTGTGCAAGGACATGGGACTACAAAACATAACAGAAAAGAATTTGAGACATTAAACAGCATCGTATTAGGGTTAACCATGTTATTATATGCGAACTCTAATAATCAACTCACCCAAACAAAATTACCTACTAAAATAAAAAGGAATGGCCTTGCAGTAAATGTCTAAACAATAAGAGTGCTGATACTCCATTTTTCCAATTTGATGCTGCATCTTAATGATCAGAACATTGGACAATATTTAGTAAAACTACATTTTGATGATTGATCATCAAATTACAGCAACAAAATAAAACAACAACATTCAAGAAGGGGAGAAAGAAGATGAATTTACAACACAAAACATTCAACTAAACCAAAGTCAAACACCTACTTCTTACCATCTTCCATGGGTTTATCCACTACTACTTTGAACTTCTTGTAATCACATTCCACAGGGTGCATAACAAACTCCTCCGGCACCACCGGACGCCTATTCCCAAATGTGGTCCACGCCAACAATACTAGAAATGCCCCCAATGCTCCGCACCCAGTGCCGAAAATCAGGGCACCAAGAACTCGCTGAACACAATCACTCCTCTTAGGAACTCTCAGAGCTTTCGTGTTCTCGGAAAAAGCCTTGGGATCCAATGGTTGAGAATGCATCCAAGAGGGAACTTGCCTTAGCTTGAAGCTCCACGAAAGCACAATACATTTTTGTGAAGAATTTGCATTTGATGAGCTTAACCCCACAATCACCTCCTCTTCTCTCCAGATTTGTGACAAATCGAATGGACACCAAAGCAGTGGTTTCTCTGGCCTAATCTCACCTAATTTACTCAACCTCACCTCTAATCGCTTCGAACCCACCTCATAATCAATCCAAGCTTGCAATTTCTCACCACTGTTGAGTACCAAATTGATAGAAGACACATTGGCCACTTTCACTGATACAAGACTACCGATATCAATCCCAACATGATTGCTATTCAAATCACCATACTTATCGTCCCTCGATGTATCAAATTCAACAGTAAAAACCCTTATTTTCCTCTCAACCAACAACCCAAATGAGCTACCATCGAATACATTCAAAGGAAACCCAATTGGAAACATCACAAAAGCTAAACCATCACCATTTTCCGGCGAAATCGAAAACGAGAAATAACTCGAAAAAGACACCATTCTCTTTGGGTTTCCTTCCCCCAGCTTGATGGGTTTCTTGTAAATGAGTCGCCCGGCGCTTGAACTCGACGACCCAGTGAGTTGTACGGACGAACCACCATTATCGATCTTGGCATCACCGTATAGAGCGAGTTGGGACTCAAAGTTCGAATCTTTATCGAAATTCTTGAAAGAAAAGGACGAATTTGGGTATGCGGACAGGGTTTTGAAGTAGAGAAAGAGTAAAGAAAGGGCTGTCAAGTACCTGGAAGGGGAAAAAGCCGCCATAGTCGATCCGGGTTTGAGCTGAGATTCTGGGACTGTGCTTTGTGTATTGCTACTTTCTCTCTCTAGGGTTTGTTGGATGAACCCAATTACTCCACTTGGGTATTTGTGTTTTATATTTCTAGGGTTTGAGAACACAACCAGTGAAGAGAAATGGGTGGTGGTCGGTAAGCTTGGAGGTTGTGAAAATTAAATACCTTTTACTCTTTTCTGCAACACACTGATTCACTTTCTGTGAGTGTTTGCTGACTGGGGGAATATGGTATAAGGTTCTTTACGTTTATGCCCTTGTGTTTTGCTTGATTTTGCAGGAAAGACAGACCATTGGTAATGCTCGTTTCACATTTATGACCTTTCATGCTTATCTAGTCATCTTGCAATTCTTGTTTGTACTTTTTGTCCACTTAAGATAATTTTAATGATCAAAATAATTATTTTTTGTGGTGGTAAGCAACGAAAATACACATCACACTTAACAAATTAGAGATGATGGGTATATATATCATTTTTAATTTGGTAATAAAAAAATTTGTGTCTATTTTTTGTTAATTCACATCAGTTAAGATGATTTACATACTCACTGGACCTAAGTATTATTTCCATTAATTATTAAACCTATGCCAATATTATATATATATATATATATACACACACACTATGTATATTGGATCGTATAATTATTAAATATATATATACACACACTATGTACATTGGATCATATAATTACTATTATTCGACGTAAGTTCATATTTGGAGATTTGTTTAATTAAAATGAAATTTTCTATTTGGTAAGTATTTATATATGAACATCAGCTGGTGATTTAATTGGTAGAGTTTTTATAACAGGTGTGCACGATGTTAAAAAAAAAAAAAGTATTAACAGGTACTGTAATAGTCCTCATCCTATTCATACACAATATTGTGAATAGTTCTTAAGAGAACTCCCATCTTGTTACTAGTTTAGAGTATATTGTACAGAGTTTTCAAGAGATCTCCCATCTTGTTACTAGTCTAGAGTAATCAGGCTTAACTTACCTAGACACAATATTGTATAAATATCCCAGAAGATCACCTAATCTCCGTACCACTCCAAATCTAAAGAGATCACTCATCTCGATACTATTCTAAAGTAAAGTAAGTTTAACTTTAAAAATTTTAAGAGTTTAAAACCAATTTTAAAATACATTGTGTCATAAAATAATGTTTAATATACATATAATACTTAAAAATGATCAAACGATAAATTATCAACTACAAAATTTGAACTCCTCACCTCTCGTTTGAGAGGAAAAATTTATACCATTGACACAAGGGTCATGTAGGGACTTCTTAACATAAATGTAACATGGATGTATATTTGGATTTACACACACATGGTGGCTAGCATTTAAAATTGAAAGGGGAAGGACAAGTGCATCATGGATACACTCGCTCTGAGAGGTCTCTCTCTCTCGTCTTTTTGGTCGCAGTATGAAAAACACAAGAAGTATTATTATTGTGGGAGCAAATAGAATGGAGATTCCCTTGGAGACCACTGTCTATCTAACTCGCGCAGTGGGCTTCGACACACCCACTTCCTATTTTTATCCGATATTATTAATCACATTTATGTTGTGCATTGTGCCTTCCTTACCATTTGTTTTCAGTAAAAAGCTAATGTGCGCACGCCTTTTCTTTTTATTTTTTACGGAGTATTTATTTTATCAAAATGTGCGCATGCTTTTCTCCTCTCGTTTTATACAACAGATTAATATATACACACACATACCAATATTAGTATACTGATAATTTACACCAAAGTTTATCCGTAATTACTAAACTCAATTTCAAAATAACAAAATTATTATTTTCAAAATTTTAAATTATTTTATTTTTCATATTTAATATTATACTGTATAATGATGGTGACAGCTAGACAAGTAGAGGTTGGAATTGGATGAGGACGATACACAGATCATATTTAACGAACCTTCGCTTTGGCGAATTTGTTTTTATTAGAGGAGGAATAGTTTGTGTCTCACTCGCGTGTACATTGGACCATGCAAGTGCAGCTTTTGATGTTGACTTTTGAGACTCATCCAACGGATACAAACCATGAAAAAAAATACACAAAATTAGACAAGTACGATTTACCAGTTGGGTGTGATGTGGGGTCCGCACTGGTGGTGTGCCTTTACAGTTGTCCAATCAACCATCAAAGCAAAGTAGTGCATATATCGTGATATAGTGGGGTCCATGCAGAATATCCTTGGGGGTTGGTGTTGTTACTTGTGTGTATAGTAAATGCCATTAACTCCCAATATGATATGAAGAAAAAATAAAATAAAAAATTGTTGTGGCAATTCAAATCATCAATGATTCGTTTTATGACTACTGTCAAACTTGAATTTTAATTTGATTGATTGTTTAATTTTACAAGTTAAGTTAGAGCTTAAAGGCTATGTTTGGTACAGTGCTCGATCTTTGAGGTTACGTTTGGTACAATGTTAGAGTTCAAAGGCTATGTTTGGTACAGTGCTCAATCTTTGAGGTTACATTTGGTACAATGCCAAAAAAAAAAGAAAAAAAGAAAAAGGAATGACACATTAATTAGGAGAACAAAAGAAAAGAAAGGAAAGGAAAGAAGAAGAAAAAACATTGTTAACCATTCATTGTGTTTGGTTCATTGGTAATAATCATGTTTGGAGAAAGAAAAAAAAGAAAACTATTTAAATAAATTTGCTCTTAAATTTGCTCTTATACCCTTTTTTGTAAATTTTGTCTTTTCATAAAACTAATGGCAAATTCAATATTAATAAAGTTTCATTAAAAATATTAACCTTTTATTTTATTTCCTTTCATTTTCTCCCATTTTTTTTTAAAGAATTACGAAACCAAAACTTCATGCTTAATTTGTATCCTTTCAAACCCCTCAATTTCCTTTATTTTCCTTTAAAAAACAATACCAAACACATGGTTTAATTTGCCTCCATTACCTTTCTTTACCTTTCTTTTCCTTTCTTTCACTTCCTTTAACCTCCAACCAAACTGGGTGAAGTGTTGAAAAAAACACAAACACATTCATCCTTACAATATTCAAAAAATCATGCAACTTGCCCCTTCACAGTAAGGTTGACTACTTAAAAATAAATAAAAACTCAAAAATGTCCCTAATAAATTTTTAGACTTAATGATATTTTATTTATTTTAGTCTACAAATTGACAAAATGTCCTATTTGCTCAATTTGAAAAGTGTATATTTTTTTAACATTGAAGGGTATTTGCACATTCTGTATATAATATAGGAATATATATATATATATATATATATATATATATTTTCACTTTACCCTTAACAAAATGAAGCTCAAGCTTCAACAAATTAAGATCTAAACTCTAACTCTAACTGTTAGTGAAGAACTCCAATCATATGTAATTGTTCATAGGAAGCTTTTACTCTTACTCTCTGTTTTTTTTTTAAAAGAATAAAAAGAAAAGTTGTTTGTCTTTCCTATTGCACTTTTGATGTTGTTATTGCTAAAGGAAGGACGCAGTTTGATGGAGGAAAACACTTTCTTTGCCCTCCACTTTGAGCAGAAAATAATGTACAAAATCTATTTACCCCTCTTTTTCATTTTTCTCATCCTCCCTTTCCATCAAACACACTCGTAGAACAATTAAAGTCATTCAACTCAGAGACCAAAGCACATTCTCTCATGCATTGAGAATGGTTGAATAAATATTAGTTTGCCATTCATGTTAGCTAGCACACAACTCAATAAATGAGAATTCACCATGCATGGACCACATGTGAACATACAAATCCAAATAATAGGACCACTAGTCCGCTACATAGCTGGAACATGTGTTTCAATATACTACAATTTAATGAATAAAAGCAAGAAGATGATGCTCCCCAATATATTCCCATCTCTGCACCCTCTCTTCTTTACGTAAAGTTTATTTTAAGGACATTTATGACTACATAATCACTCTCTCTAGGCTTTCAAATTATAAAGAAGCGGACTTCCTTATATTTATTGTATCATACCAATCAAAGATGTTCGGTCAAAATATAATATTCTGATTAACTCCTCGACTTAAGTAGCATTACTCATTAACTAATTTGATTTATGAGAAGATGAGCCGATTCTCAGGGGATATATTTAATTTGGGAGAAAGATATAAGCATTCACATTTTTCATTTCTTCATATCGGATAGAAACTTGTGAGGAAGTTGTGAACAGAGTGAAATTAGAATTGTAATTAAGGTATTAATTAACTTTTCATCAATGTGTTTGAATATTCTTTAGTTGGACGGAGGCCTAAATGATTGGGAAAAAAGAAAAATGTCAGTATGTGTCACATGCAACCTAATTAGGAACATGCAAATCCACTCTAGATCAATTTAATTGGTTCATACAATTGTTACTGTGAAGCATGTGAGCAAATTAAGAAAAACCTTCTTGGACAGTTTTAAAACCTAAGAATGCAAATCAAAACTCACCCACTCATGATAAATTGACCGGGAGTCAAGTATTGCATGGCAGTGGCTGTATCTCTGTAATTACTAATGGAATTGTCATGACAATGAAATTAGAATAAAAAGGAATGGAAATTAAGAACATCGATAGATGGAGAAATTGTATGAGAAGATTGAAAATATATAAAAACACAAGTTACACCAGTCCCTTTGTCTTTTTCCACAATGTATTCGACGAATAAATGATTAAGAAAATTATATCATTAAAACGGAATTTAAATTTATAATTTAAATGAATTTTGATTCCGTGGTGAAATATTCCGAAGCTAAAAGTCTCTTTTCTTGTAGTGTCTTTTCTTTTTTCATTTCATTTATATTGTTTGTTTGGGTTTGTAATCAAGGACGGAAGGAGTTAAGGACCGGGGGCAAGTGCCCCCTGAATTTTTTTCTTCTCTTATATATATATATATATATATTTTATAATAATATATATATTTTGTTATGAAAAGATGGAAAGTGTCCCCTTAATTTTTTTTCTTCATATTATTCTATCTATATTTCTTATTTTTTCTCCTAAATTGTTTGCTTAATGTTTATATTCGGTATTTGTAAATTAATTTCATCTCTAAACATTGACTTATATGCATGTACATTGTATTGTAAATATATATTATGGTGTACAATACTACAATGTGCCCATTTCTAGTTCCGTCCGTATTTGTGATTAATGGAAGTTGAAAGGCGGTCCGGATGATGCTTCTCTACAAACACAAGTCAATGTGGCTTTTTCCATAATATTAAGTCGAGGTATGTCAAGCCATCTGCATGGTTAGAATATTCTAGACTTTTCTACATTTAGTATATAGTTTGTAGAGTAATGTTGCATTGTATAGAAATATCTTAAATATTATTTGGAGCATTTTAAAACTCAATTCTAGAATAAGTTGGATAGATCAATGTAAAACTCTTATGCCTTATAGAGGTCATTCCAACAGGTCCTTATTCTAGAAATAAAATATATTTGTAATTTAAAAACAAATGAGTTATTATTGTTATTATTTTTTTTACTAAATATGAAATTTAGAAGTAAAAAATTATTTGAGAGTAGCCTTATCTTTGTGTGTAGTCTAAAAAACATATTGTTGTATATTTATGTGTAATTTTATATTTGTAACATATGTTATATTATAGTTTATTAATATTATAATATGTGTATAAAGAATAGTATATATTTAGTTTATGGTTGAGTTCCATTCCAATGTACGAATAATCGGAATTGGAATCGTAAATTAACGATTCCAATTAACGATTCCTCATTTTGAAAACAAAAACAAAACCAAAGTTTAAAAGAACCGAACTAAAACGATACAATTCTTACCTGTTTCATGATTCCAACGATTTTTTGAGCACTCCTACTAAGAGAAAGTTTGAATCTTATTAGCCAATGGGTGCTTTACAAAGGTAGAAGTTGAGTGAAATTCGTGTGAATGCCAGAACATTAATTGATTTCAACCATCTGATCCATTATCCATGAATGTGTTGAAGGATGTTGAGCAATTGATTTCATGTAAGGCTTTAAATTGATTTTGGCATTTGGCAATGGGCTTCTATATGGAATATTATAGGGTAGCTCATGAATTGAGCTAATGGGCCTTTAGTAAAAAAAAATCAGGCTTGAAAATGGGCCTTGTTGGCTTTTAGATGTCCAAAGATCTCCGATTCTCAATTAGGGTACTAATATACTTTGCCATTACTATTACTATATATATATATTTAAGAGAAAAAGAGCCTATTATTAAGGGGGTGGCAAGCCAAAATTACCCTATGTTATGCATAAAGAGTTTATAACATTTTATACGTTTTAAAAAATTTCTAAAATTTAATTTTGAAGTAAATAAGGACTTAAATGCTGAAAATATTAAAGTGTCCCTCTATAACTAATATAAAAATAAGTAAAAACTAATTAAATATGAAATGACTAAATTCTCCCTTTTTTTTTGGAATTTCTTCTTCATCACTATTGTCGATAATGGAACAATAACGATGACTTGATATGTCAGGTGTTAGTTGAGTGTGTGTGTGTATATATATATATATAAGAGATATGAGTGTTTTTGAAATTTTATATCTTAATAGTGACTTTATGCCCTTCTTTATTTATTTTTTCAAACTTAACGAACTCATTTATTCAAACTTATAAGAGTGTTAATTGCCCAAAATGTAAATATTAGGGTGTTTTTCCCACTTTACCTGGGAAATAATAATAATAATGAAGTGGGCTTTTCTTGGAAGTAATTTCCAAAGATTTCAGAGAAAAACAAAAAAAAAAACCAAAAAGAAAAAGAAAGAAGGGGAAAAAATAAAAATAAAATAATAATAATAATAATGGAGAGAGAGAGAGAGAGAGAGCGCGCGCTCTCAAATAACCGCCTAAAACCTTTATTTTTGCATCCTAAAGTTGTCCTCCAAAAATTTCAAACAGTCCCGCGTTTTTTTCATCACTTCTCAGCTACCCCTTTATATATATATACACATATCTCCTATCTCTCTTTCTCTTGCTTCTCCAACTTGCAGTGATGGGGAAGCAAACCAAATCCAAGAAAGCAGAGAAATTCGGCAAAGGGAAGGTAACTCCGGTCCAAATCGCCTTCATCGTAGATCGATATCTCTCTGACAACAACTATACCCAAACTCGCTCCGCCTTCCGAAACGAAGCTTCAGACCTCATCGCCAAATCTCCTGTTCAAGAGGTAGTTAAAAATGTATATAACATATATGATAAAATACATATGTACACGTGTTCTAGTTCTCCGGTGTCTTCAATATTTCTGTGATTATAGTTATCATTTTGTGCAGTAGATTATAGATCGATGTGGTTTTTGCAGGCACCGAAGAGTTTGTTGAGTTTGGGAGCAATGTTGGATGAGTACATATGTTTGAAGGAGCAAAAAGTGATGATGGATCAAGATAAGCACCGTTTGGAACAGGAGAAATTTCGGGTTCAAACGCTGTTGAGAGGTATGCAAGATGCGATGAATGCTTATAATCGTCCGCCGTCTATGGTTCCATCTACAGCCCCAAAATCAATGCCTATGGCTCCCCAAATAGACCTAACTATTGGGCCCGCTGCAGGTAACATTTTCAGTTCCTTTATCATCTATTTCTACATATTTCAATTTGCTGAAATTGGGTTAAATAATGTTTGAGACTGTAATGAGGTGTCATTGTTTGGTGCACTAGTGAAATGTTCATGATCTCAAATGTGAGAATGCGGATTTAAATTCTGGGTGCATTCACTTTGTGCAAATAATGTCAAATGTTAGGTCTAGATCCAGTCAACCCTTTGCAGTACCCTCAATTGATGAGGATACCACCATAGATTAATGTGTGAGATTGTGATGTACTGGTTAAACGTCGGTTTTAACTGATCTCTTAGCATTTATACTGGTTATGTGGAATTGTTTGGTCAATTTTGTTATCTCATCCTTATATTTGTTAAAAGATGTGAATCAAAGCTTTGCATATGCCCATGGGAACTACATCTTTAAACGCTAGCTATGCTCCAAAATCACAGGGTCAATCTGTATCTTTGCTCAATCTGAATCTTAAAAATGTGCATTGATTGCATTGTTCTATTATTTGGTCCTCACAACTACACGATGATGGCTTACATTTGTGGTAAGAGTAGACGTTATGTTTGTATGTCATCCGGAACCCTGCATTGATGAGGTCACCCATATTGGGTTGTGAAAGTGTCTCTAGTGCTTTCTACTTGCCATGATGTCATAATTCAAAGAGTTTAGGAAATTTAAAGTCCAAATGGTGTGACCTGCAGAGCTTCCAAAACCTTGCAGATTCTAAGGTTTTATTTTTAAATTCTGCTTTACTTGTGCCTAGTTTGAAACTGAACATATATATTCGGATTATGGTTTTTTAGTGCCAAGTTTGAAGCAACTAACTAAAATCCATTGTCAATCTTCTTTGATAAGGGATCAATTCTCTAAGAAATGTCAGTTCAAGTTAAATTTGTATATCATAGTCTTGTCGGTTGAACTTTTCATTGGGAATTATGCATAAAATTGAGTTATTATTATACATAATACATCATTTGGACTTGATGAAAGAATAAGCATTAGGCAATTGATAGTTGTTGCAAATGGCGTCAGTTTTTTTGAAGTGCTCTAATTGCGTGTATTGTACTTGTAGATGTGCTAATTCATGTAGTTTTAGAGACTTGAAATCTTTTGACTTCAGGAGCTCTTAGATTAGTGAAAACATTTTGATTGATTCAAGTCATTTCTTTTAACTTTTGTTAGGAACTTAGGATCAATTATCAAGTTTCATTCATAAGTTTATTAATAGTTTAACAAAATAAAAGGGAGGTCTGGGTTAGTTAATGAGTTTTCATGTTCAGTAATTTTCATAAATGGATTGTTTTCCTTTTTGAAGTTTTTTTATCAGTAATCCTCAAGGAAAAAGTACATTTATCACTTTCCTTCTTACTGCTTATTATTGAGCAAAACAAAATTTATGCAAGAAACAATCACTTGGTTCCCGAAATGACAATTTCTTCAGCAATGACCTCAATTTTGATGTCCTTTTATCAGGTCATCCTTCTTACAAAACCCCAGTCATGATGTCAGTATCCAGGCCCTCCAACACTCATATGGATCCCAAAAATTTCTACACACCAGTTACAAACCCAACTTCAAGACGGAGAAAGGGTTCAAGAAGTGTTCCAGATGGCCCTGTAAATGCAAAGAGATCTCGTATTCACTTAACCACCAACCCTTTGCCAGTCAAAGGTAACTTTTTATTGGAGTTTGAAGCACACATAAATTTTATGTTTTTAATCCTCGAATTGTTATTAATATTCATTTTCCTTGTAGGTACTGATTCATTTCCGCAACCAATAAATGCAGCCGGTAATCAAGAAAATGCTCAGCAGTTTTCTGCAGTTCAATCTTCACCCCATGAACATGATAATGTGCCCAATGGATCACCAGTTCAAGGATCAAGTGTTGCCAAGTGTTTGTTCAATCAGCCTAGTCAATCCCCTCCAACTAATTCGTCTGGTCCCGTGACACCTCTCAGAGCAACTTCCTCTCAAACTGACAAATCTGTTTCTCCACTCACTGCTACTCCAAGTAACAATGTTGCAGCCCAGCAGATCATCTCTAGTAACCGCACTGTAATCACTTCAGAGACAATTAGAGTGAGCCCTGCCAAACAAGTAGCTTATTATTCCATTGAGAGGAATCACCGCATTTCTTCTTCCTCACCAGTCAAGACAAATTTGAAGAGGCTTGGCATAAGAGATCATGTAAAAGGCAGGCTAGATTTTGATGGTTCTGACATGCCAGTTAACTCTGAAAAACCGATAATTGATGAGGTTCCAACGTCTCAATCCAACAATGACTTAGACATCTTTGATTTTGATTTGCCTAATTTAGATGCTCTTGGAGTGGATTTCTGCCTCTCTGAATTGTTGGTTGATTTTGATCTTGATGGTGAGGGAATTAATTATTCTTGCCAGCCAGCCTCGGGTTCTCCAGACTCCCTTTCTGGGTAATTGTTTCCCCTTTGATCCTATCTTATCTATAATCCTATGCATCTCTATCACCCCTTTAATGCCATCTAAATAATTTACTTATATTATTATTCTGTTTATGAATTATTCACAGATCCCAAAACGAATCAGGAGATGCTAATCTGGGTGCTAATCAAGTTTTATCTGAGTTTTCATCCACCGTGACAGAAATTTTTTCAGAGAACGACATGAATACACAAGGTATAGAGACTCATCTTTTGTGTAATATTATTACATCCTGTTAGTTGTGATAAATTGCTTATGTACTTTCCCATTTTTCTCTTCATGACCAGCAGGCCCAGATTCTGTGACCAATGTGAAGTCCATAACAAAATGCATTCAGATATTAAGTCCTGGTAACTATACCATTCAATTCTTCTCCTTCTATCTTGAAGAATTTAGAATTACTGATACGGGTTGTCTATTTTAATTTCAGCAAAGAATCATACATGCTCTACTTTGGATCGGGAGAATCTGTCTGCAAGAAGCTGACTGGCTTAACAATACCAACTACTCATACGTTGACATGGACCAGTACAGTAATTACCACCTGATGTTGTAACTTCAAAGTTTAACAAATTTGCTTGAACTGACATTGATTTCTGTCTAGCATTAGACTAATTTCCCTTAAGATTGCCTGTTAGGCTTTTACTTACAGATTTAATGTTCTCCTCTACCTAAAATAGAAAAAACCTCACATGAAGTTCTGGAAAAATACAAAGCTCTAGTGTACTGTTATGACTAGTTGACTTTGATGAATACTACATATTTCTAGTTATTTTATTTTATTTATTATTATTATTGTTTTAAAGCTGTCTTCTTGGATGTTGATTGCACATTGGATGGATGTTGATATGGAAATGTTCCTCTTCCATTAAGATCATTCTTTGTTTAGATATCATTAAATATGTAACTAAGTTTAAAATGTTAAAACCGAATTATGAGTTGACAGACAAATTAAGATTTCTACTCTTAGGAATTTGCAGACCAAGTACTTTGGTTTTTTTTTTTTTTTTTTTGCCAAGTACTTTGGTTTCTCTAGTTCGTCTGTGTGAATTGCCATATGCTTGTGAATCTGCCGAAGGAACATTATGAAGTGGATTTTTGCTGTCTGCAATTAATCCTGGGAGATTCTGCTTCCCTTATTAACCAGGTTTTGGATGTCTAACTTTTTTTTTTTTAATTTGCTCAAAATAGATAAACTCTAGTTCATTTGTGGCATTAATAGAACTGTCTAAGGTAGTCTTATTAGTTGATAATTCATATAAATTGAATCTCCAATCTTCATGTCGAATAAACACCAGTCTTTCTGCCTAGACTCAAAAAAGAATTTGAATCACAGTATACAACACAAATGACCCTCCTTGGGGATTTACAACAACCTTTTCTTAGTTCAAATATATTGTATTCTGCAGAAACTGCTACGAAACATCTTCATCAAACAAAATTAAAACTGCCTTCAGTATGGCATATTGATTAAGCCAAGTACTTCTCCAATTTCTCCACTTCTTCGGTGCTTCCAATGTAAAGTGGAACACGCTGATGTATCTGTCAAAGAAACATAATAGGTTCCTAATTATCCATTTTACGAAAAAAACTAGATTAGCACCAAACTGCACAAGTGCACTCACCTCCTCTGGTTGGATATCAAGAACCCTTTGATGGCCGTCTGATCCTTTGCCACCAGCTTGTTCCACTAAATAGCTCATTGGTGCACACTCATACAAAAGCCTCAGCTTCCCATTCTTACTCTTCCTGTCTCTGGGATACCCATAAATGCCACCATATAGCATTGTCCTATGGAAGTCACCAACCAGGCTGCCAATGTATCGTGCAGAGTAGGGTTTGCCACTAGGACCAGGGTCCTTAAGGTCATCAATGTATTTCTTCAACTTATCATCCCACAACTGGTAGTTCCCTTCATTAAACGAATAAATCTTCCCTGATTTAGGTATCTGAATGTTTTCTTGAGTTAATACAAACTCCCCATACATGGGGTCCAAGGTGAACGAAAACACGCCATTTCCTATGGAGAGAACAAAGATCACGGAGCTTGAGTACATGCAGTAGCCAGCAGCAAGAAGGTTGTTTCCTGGTTGGCACACATTGACAATACATCTCTGTTTCACAGTGTCTAGCTGCATTGTGCGGTGAACAATTAGGATAGTCTAATTTATTCTAACTCATAAAAATTCTAGTTCATTAAATTCTCAACCTATACCTAAATCCCTGAAGAACGAAGATCAAGTTTGTTCAAACAACAAAAGACCAGGAAATTAGTTACAAAATTTTCTTTGTTTTATTTTGAAGTTTAGATTAAGTTAAGAGTTCCTAAGGCAACTATTTGGACTACATATTATAGTAACTGAGATTATATATTTTCGGAACACATTTTGCCTAGAAATCAGTTGAAATTTTGTTTGGTTTGAAAGTGTGACATGCCGGAATGTTATGCATCAAAATAATGTTGTGGATAAAATGAAATATAGGCAGTTACCGTGGCATCATCACCAATATCAGCAAGGCATTCATCATTTGGGCTGTATATTCCAAAGATAGAACCAGTCGAAACAGCAGCATCAATGTTGGATGATCCGTCAAGAGGGTCAAACACGACAATGTAGTTCCCAGAGTAGCTCTCTTCCACTGCCACTGGTACATCTTCTTCCTCTGATGCTATGATCCCTGTCCTTCCACTTGATCTCAGACAATTAGAAAACACCTGCTTATAAACAATAATCAATCTTTTACATATGATAAAAAAGAAAAAAAAAAAAAACCTTATTAAATTTAAGATACTGAAATTAAACCATTTCTTTTTGCAAAATCTACGCACATTTTTAGGTATGAGATTCTATAAAGTAAGGCATTTGTTGTGTTACATCCTAAAGTGCATGGTCCACCTACACAGTATGTTGGGAAGGAAAGATTGGAGATTTGACTTGAAGTTTTGGCATAATTTTGTACGAAGTGACTGCTCTGAGTTCTACACTATCATGTTTATTAGCTGGCCAATACTGTTATGGTGTAAATTAATTCTTTAAATCCCCATCCATGCTCAATAAGCAATGGTTTACGATTGTTATATAACTCTATATGCATTGCTAGGATTATTTAATAGCTCAATTTTTACTCTAGAGTCTTGTTTTAGTCCATTGGTTATATATCTTTAGTATTAATTTTGTACTAGATAGCTGTTCTTACTTCTGCAAATCGAAACCAATACTCACTTTTGTCAATTCGAGTTCCTACCGTTGCACCAAGTTATATAAAATTAAAATATAAGATACTAAATTATTCAAGTCCTATAAATTTTAAAATTTTAAAGTGAACAAGATCATATAATGCATGATTGGATGTGAAAGCAATGAATTGTCTGATATTGAGTATTCATATATAAATATGGCATATATAGAGAATATATTGATGTAGGACCTCATTTGAGACGACATCTAGCTTCTTCTGGTCCTCCCCTTGGATATTAACAGCCCCCTGAACTCCGGTGAGGTTGGAAATGCCGGCTCTTTGAACCAGTGAAGCAATCTGCTTGCAGGCAATTGAAATGCTTGATAACACTATGGTCAGCTCAGCATCAATAACACCTGCCTGTTCTTGCTTCAGCAACCAACTAGTCAAGGCCTGTATCTCATACCCACTCTGCTTTTTCTTTGTCTCCGCCTCTGCTGCTGTCCCCACCGCGGTGCACCGGATGCTGCCACTGGCCAACACCGCCGCCTGTCTTCGCCTGAGTGCGGTGGTGGGGCATGACAAGAGGGTCTTGGAGGAGTCTTGAAAGGGAGAGAGACGAGAGATTGAGTGGGAGCTAGAGAAGGTGAGCTGTGAGGTTGGAGTTGTCACTATTGTTGTAACCATGGCTCTGTTTTTTTTTTTTTCCTTTCTGATTCTGAATATAAAAGTTTTGATCCTCTTAGCCTCCACTTCGTTTGATTGATTAATGGGCTGGTTTTAGATTGCGTTGGCATTGTGGGGGTGGGAATGGGAGGCTGGAATGGATTTCTGTTACTGTGGGCCCCACTTATCCTTGTTTTTGAGTCCTTGTGATGCTGCTTCTTTGGCTATAATGAATTTACAATAGCCTAAAAATGGCAGGGGTTTAACTTGGATTGGATTAGTTGAGGGGTTGCCAAATGGGGTTGAGGTTGGAAATATATATATATATATTTTAAGTTAATTTTTCACTAATTGTCATATGCATATCAGAAAAAGAAATTAGAAGCTTTTGGTGATAAATTATGAGGAATTCTAAGAAGTTTGATACTACCTTCGCGAACAAATAAAAAAAAAATAAATTATAAGTATTCAAAATTTATTGTTCAACCCACATTTTAATCTTTGAATTCATGTAAATTGAGAGTTAAATGAACCTTTCAAATGGCATACAAAAAAGAAAGAACAATAATGATAAATAAAATTAATAGGTGTTTGTGTAATCACATTTCGAAAGAAACTTGCATTGCCCTTAGAATTTGGGCTAGAATTATTGTGGGCTGAGTGTGGGTTGAACTTCAAAAAGGTTTCTCCTCAGTCCACTTCAGTCAACTCTTCCCTGCCCTCAAATTCTTGACTACTGTAGCAATCATTACCCATAGTATAATAAAAGAATACAAAATTAGGTCGACTTTTACTATAAGAACAGTTTTCTGTTTTTTTTAAATTAAAAACAAATAATTGTATAATTTTTTTTTGCTTAATTCAGTTTTTTGAAAATTATTTTATGAAAATTCAATTATAAAAATATTTTTTTTAGATAACTGTCTAAAATAATTTCATATTCTCTGAAATTTTGGGAACTGTTTGGATTTGAAGTTTACTTATACTTCCGACATCTTGCTTGACTTTGAAAAAAAGGGTCAAGAATCAATAACCATAATCAACCGTGTTTTCTCTTTTTACCAACTATTTATTTTAATAAGACTATCGATGAATTTAGATTTGATGGGATCAAGAATCCCGATATGAATAATATAATTTCTAAATACCATTATCCAAATTTGAATTCTAATTTGACATATCCTTTGTAACAAAATATGTGAATTTTATTTATTTACTATTTTGATACATTAAAATAAATCAATAAATTATGGTTTATATAAAATTAATGTTCTAATATCATAAAAACTTTATTCTCATAAAACATATATAAATTATACTCTGCTCTTAAATGTGACTAAACTAGAATTAAAGAGATTGAACCACACATTAGATGCTTTGGCTCAATTATGATTGGATATCATAAATTAAACAGAAATTGAACTGATAAACCTGTACCAGGATGCAATTAAAACAAATGCTCCATTATGAAAGGAATATGATATTACCACCACAATTTCTTTCACACCAACCCCATTTAGCCTAAAAGGTTGAGTTTAGGACTGATATTTGAACAATTGTGGAGTTGTATTATTTTCTGAAGGTTAATAGTAATAATAATAATTTTCTTAAATCAAGTGGAGTGCATGCCAGAAAAAATGTAGTATTTTTTTAAAAAAAAATTATTATGTTTAAAAAAAAAGAAGAAGCTATTACAAGGATCAAGGATGTTTCTATCATCAAAGTGAGTTCAACCTGATTATTTGATGGTAAGTTGAATTAGTGTAACCTTGATCAATTACTAAATTTATTTTAAAATGAGTTGTGCTAGACTTGACGAAAAAATATTTAAAATTGTATTACAAATGATAAATGCGATATCGTAACTCCCTCTTCATTTTTAGGTTAGTTTGTCAACGTTGAAACTCATTTAAGAATCAGATAATTGTCAATGACTAATTTCGTTTATAGATGCCTTAATTATTTTTAAGTAATCATCCATAATCCTAAACCTTAATTATGCTAAAGAGATATAAACATAGTCCTAAATTTTGGAAATGTAGTTTCAAAGCAACATATAAGAATTGTTTACATCATACTTCGATTCTTCCCATGGTTAATTATACATAGCTTCAATATATATTCTACGCGGCTAAAAAATCTATGAACGATCTAAGAAAAAGAAAATTTGCTCCAAAAAAAAAAATTCGAGTGAGTATTTCTCTTTCCGGCTCCTAAAAGGAAAACTAATTATCCCACAAAAAACTTCATCATTTTTCTTTTAAAATTCAAAACTAAATTGAGGAATCAGAACTAGAGATCTCAAATAAAATAAAATCAAATTTCGAATAAAAAATACTCTATTTTCATGTCAAGGACAAATTAGTCATTTGAAAATATCATAGGGGTAAAACTGCCCACATGGAATTCACCGAAACACTTCCCTGTGAATCTATTCTATTCAGCTTTCCTCGCAACAAGTCTTCGCTGTAAGGCGGGAATAAGTGTAGAGAGTGAAACAAAGAAAATGCCCGAAGATACCGAAATGGAGGACTTTACGGTGCTCGACGGCGAAAGCGCCGCCGCAGACGACGGCGCTGGTGGTGACGAAGGAGTGATTGGAGATGCGGATTTGGCCGTGGTCGGAGACGGAAGCGAAAGCTGCACTCAAGAGAACAAGAAGTCAGGAGACCGAGTTAAGGGACCGTGGTCGCCCGAAGAAGATGCGGTACTGGGTGGACTCGTGAGCAAGTTTGGGGCGAGGAATTGGAGTCTGATCGCCCGAGGAATTGCCGGGAGATCGGGGAAGTCATGTCGCCTGAGATGGTGTAATCAGCTCGACCCAGCCGTCAAGCGCAAGCCTTTTACTGGTAATTTAATGTCCATTCTCAATTAAACCCTTAAATTTTCAATCTTTGGCTATATATAGATATATATGTAGATGTGATTGTATTGTGATTTGAATCGAGGGTTCAGTTCACACATCAATTGTGTAGCTTGTGATGCATTTTGCATTTAAAAGGTTTTCATTGTTCCGGCATTTGTTAAAATTAATTTTATATTGATTGCATGCTTGTCTTTGCAATTAATTGGGGTTCATTATGTTCTGGATAGTTGTTTTACTTCAAATCTCTGAAGAATATCAATAAGTATAGATTTTACTTTAATCTCTATGTATATTATGGTATAAGTATTTTATTTAAATCTTTGAGCGGATACATTAGGGTATAAGAAGTTCAAAAATTTCATGTGGTATATGTAGGTATTATTGCAAGGATATGAATGAAAAAAAAAGAGTTGAAAATCTCCATGTATATTTAAAAGGAAAAGGTTAAAACAAAAAATACAAGCGAGTGCCGGTGGGGGTGGGGGAGGGGATTATTGGAGTCAGTCAACCAGAGGAAAAGTTGGATATCGGTTTGGGAATCTGACAGCATATCTCATGCATTCTCTTGTTACGACATTGACTTTGTGTTTGATTGAGTAATATAATTTTTTGTTTTATCTTAAAATGTATATCGTTACTAGTGCCACTGCTTAGTTATAATGATGAGTTCAGAGGATGTCAAGTGTGGCAGAGGTTCAAACTTTGATTGTAATGGCAGTTACTAAGTTCAATGTGTGAACAGTTCTAGATGCTAGGTGTGTACCATATCTATCCCTTCTTGCACACATGACACAACAATACAGGTCTCAAATCAAAATTACTGGACATTCTTTTTTCTTTCCCTTTTATTTATTTATTTATATCTATTTGTTGTTATTAGTAGATATGTGGTGTGACATTTTCTGATGTCTCCGTAACTTGACGGGCTTGCACTTGACTCTTAAGTGATTGAATTTCAACTTGTCATGCTCGTGTTAATGTTCTTCAATCATATGTCACTTTCATTTGTGCGAAATGCACTTGTTCGGAATAGCTCACACGTCAAAAGCATGCCAGAAAAAGTATTGATATTAGCTTTTTTAAGGCTAGGAAATGACATTTTGAATATAATATAGTTAATTTCAAGGAAATTACAATTATATAGCAGTAAAAATAGGTAGTAGGCAGGAGTTGCCGGTGGGTTAGCAAGTTTAGTAGGAGGGCCAGGCACGTAGGGTCTGTATGTTTCTTAGTTCCAAGTGATTCCGAAGTGATATCAGGAGTGAAAGGCAGGTGCAATAAGGTAATTGATATCTTATTTTTATTTTTATTTTTGGGTTTGGGTTTGGTGTGTGTGTGTGTGTTGGGGGGGGGGGGGGGCGAGGGGAATACCAACTGAGGCTCGACTACCAAATATGACAATCCCAATTGATCATTAATTATAAGATAAAAAGAAATAATAGAGAGAGAAGGAAAGAAGATACAATCTCAGTTAATAATTGTCCACCTATACCACTTAGGGGTGATTAACCTCCATTTATTATTTTTTACTTTGTTTATCTAAACCAGGCACTGAATGAGTTAAATAGGAACTTGAAAAACTTTTTATTTTTTTGGGTAAGCAGCAATAAATAACCTTATGGAAGTTGTAAACTGCTCAAATTTATGGAAATATTCAATACTCCTGAAGAAAAAAAAAAAAATTCTAAATACTGAAAGCATTACACCCAAAGAGTCATGTCTTGTTGCAATACAGGTGGCAGATGATAAGTTATACTTATACATCCTTATTGCTATGATTGTGGTTCATAAGGGTTTGCACGTATAGTACTTTAAATTTTTTATTTTTTTTAAAAGGTCAGCAGTTATAGTAGTTTAATTTGTTAGTCTTGTTTTTTAGGATTTATCTTATGATTTCAGGTTGGATTTGCATTGCTTGGCCTGTGTCTTGATTGAGTTAAAGCAACACTTGCCTTGGCAGGCGGGTGTCTGTGTGTGTGTGTGGTTATTGTTGGTAAGAAGTCTTGGAAGTTCATTTAAGTGTCCTCTGTTTTACAGAGTAGTTTCATGTAAGAATTCCACGTAGGGTTCTTCCTAGTTCATGCGGAACCCCTTCTGACATGCCCGATCATATGAGCATTTTTGGAAATTCATAATTTTTTATTTTTTTTTACAATACCTACAACTAACTTAGGTGTATGTGGAACAAAAATGAACCACTCTAGGTCAAAGTTAGGTAATTTGGAGGAGTTTGAGAGGTTTTAGTACCAATTCATTGTTATTTTTTCTTTCAATTTTATTCTACTTTAGTGACACACTATAACAAGTTAAAAGAGAATTATCATCACAATAAATGCAAAATAAATACGGTTGCGGTTTGTTGATGTTATAAATATTTGTATATATATTAAATATAATATTTATATTTATATATGTCAAGCAGGCTACATTTTTAGATGTGTGAAACGGATCCCCAATGGTCTGTGATATTATCTCAATTTTGCACAAAATCCAGTTGTGCCCCGAGTTCAAGCACCAAACCCTACATTAAAAATGCTTCAAGAGATACACCAGAGTTGCCCTCATGTAATATGCTAATACGAAAAGGGAAAGTACATTTAAGCTACATTTTCTATATAGAAAGTGACCTTATAATCACACTGTTAGAGAACTCAAATCATTTGCAAGAAAATTTGACTGACAAGTGAAATATATAGGTAGTGTTTGGTGTGGCATTTAGAGCACCTTAAGATGACTTTTGACCCATAGAAGTCCATTTTAAGTTTCAGATTGTGTTTGGCAAGACATTGCACAAGGCCTTCTATGAGAAGTAATTGCATTGGAAGCCCATTTTCAGGAAGTAAGAAAAACATGCTTCTTGAACGACTTTTTCGCTAAGTGGGTCAAACATTTAAGTGGAATTTATATACTCTCTACTTTGCCCTTGTATATTTTTCCGGACAACCATCATACCATAAACTATTTTTGAGTTGTTCCACAATTTCTTGCTGTTATTCTTCTCATCGCCCCTTTTGTCACCGATCTTGTAATGTTTGATCTCGTTGGTCTCCTTGGGTGCTTGTCATTATTAACGTGGTTGCCATCGGATCTACAAAGTATGACATCATCGATCTTTTAAATGTCAGAATTGGATAACCTTGAAGGATTGTTAGTGATGTTGAGCTTGTCAACGGTTTGATTTTTGAGTCGCTCTATTACCTCACTTGTGTAGAACAGATTCTTGCAATTCAGTTAATCCAAAAATTCATCTTAGGAAGTAATTAATGATGAGTGATTTTTGCAGCTTTGAATGTTGGATGTTAACGACTTAACAAATTATATTTTTTCAGTTTATAATCGGGAATGCATTTTTGTCATCGTGGTTTCGCTGTCTAGTTTTTTTTATGTTTTATTTTATTTTTGAAAGGTCATCATGGTTTCATTGTCACAAAAGAAAAACATAGAAAAATGAAAATAGAAGTCTTGGATGTGTATTTATGATGTCCATATACTGGATATTGTTGAAGAAATGTTCCACAAAACTAGTAGATTCTTGCTATTTTCTTCAATAGCCTATGCCTTAAAAATGAATAAATGGTAGTAAGTCAAGAAAGTGTTAGCAAAAGTACACCGTGGCACTGTATCTTGAACTGAAAAGTTCAACCATTTTACCAAATTGAACTGCCCAGGATTCTGGAAGTATGAAAAACTGGAAAGAAAAACCATAGTTAGTAGAAAAAATTAATCGTTGATAGGATGGAGTACAAGCCCCAAGGTTTCATCCCAAGTGAAACTTGGTGATTTTGATGATAACCAACTCTTAGTGTGTGCATTTAATAACCTACTTGAGTGTAAAGAATTTCAGGAATATTATTTGATTTCAAGCATTAAGTAGATCCATGAATGGTGCATCAAGATTATATTCAATTCAAGCTCATGGATACAAGCTTACGACTGGACCAATACATGGCGAAAGAACTACACTTATTGAAGATCAAGTTCAAGACAATGGGGCTTTTGGGGTTGGTCAGTGTTAGAATTAATGTAAAGTATTAGTTATGTTGCAAGATTATTCTAAGTTCAACTTTAGGATATAATAGTAGCACCTAGGCTATTAGAGAAGCTGTTTTCTATTTAAATTCAAAAGCAATGGCAAAGCAGTCATTAAAGGGTCACTTGATATTTCACTTTTTGGAGCCAAAAAGCTTTAATTCAAATTCTGTATAACAAGTGAAAATGGTCGTTTGCTTGTTTGTATAAGTCATCCTTATCCAGTGACATGGCCGAGCTTAAAGGATAAGATCAATAGTACAATGTACGGGACGTGGAACGTCTGGTAGCACTACCAGAGAGACGTTCTCCTTTACTGAGTTGGCTAACTGTTGGGACATGCTGAACCTTGTAAATCTATGTGTTCATTGTTTGCAATTTCTCTATCCCTTGAACTCCTTATCTGTTGTGATTTGCAAACTCTGATGTGTGCCTTGTTTTATTTCAATCTGTTTGTACAGCTTGAACCATTTTGTTTGTCTAGCTAGCATACTTAGATTTCTATCTTCATACTCTGTCTTGTGCTAGTGAAGAAGTGGAAACTAACACGCAAAAATAAAGTTTCTCCAAAGATTACGAAAAAATAGAATAAGAAACCTAATCAATAAAAACTACTAAATATAAATATTGAGAGAATTCGAGTCCGTTTAGGCCACGAACAAAAATCCTGAAATAATCAACAGGCCTCCCATAAGACCAAAACAAAACCGTTTTGAGACCCTAAACGATGAAATTTGGCCGAAAAACGGCAAACGTCACAGCGTAGTAGTGAGTATTGCTTGTTGGACTGTTTCCAGTCGAAAAATTGTCATTTCGGGTTAAAAATGGACACTTCGGCATTGCCCCGAAAAACCTGTCAGCATTCCCATTTGGCCCTCTGGTGGTCCATGTTTGCCATAAAGGCTTTGGTAATCAGTTCTACATCAATTACTATTCGCGCCCCCCGCTCCTACTCTAAGAGTCATTGTCTGGGCAACATAAAGTTTATGTAAGTGTTACCTTGGATAGAGATTTTGTTTAGAAAGTTGTTTTTAATCTAGAATGTGCAGCCTGGGTTGTTCCATGACTGGGTGGGTGTACCAAAGCCTGCAATGATAAACTGACATTCATGCAACTAAATGATAAACTGACATTCATGCAACTAAGTTTCCCTATTCCTTTGAGAAAAACTTGCCACATCGGACAAGATTGTCTGTATATATAACAAGCATCAGTCCAACCATAGCAAACTCCTTGCCACTGCTTGAGTTTTTAATTTTTTTTATGCAACACTGCATATATTATAATGCCTAAATAGGTGCTTCTGCATACGGGTATCTACTTGATGATCTTAACTTTTGCAATTCTGACACCTTTAAAAGGATGTGTGCTAATCGAGTTATGTATTGTTTGATTATTTCTGGCTACCCTGATCTTGCAACAAATGTGAGAATCAGCATGCAAACGCCAGCTCTTTTTTCATCTTTATGGTGGCTACGTGACGCGTGTGCGTGCATGCTGCTTCACCACATTAGTGTTTCCCAGCAAAAGATGGGATGTCCAAATGATGTTGATTTAATTGCACTGAACTCTTGGTTTGCTTCCTGTGCTGACTATTTTAGACAAGCACCTCACTGTTGCTGGTCACAGAGAAGGTCATTACATATGATTTGATTAACATTTTTCAGCATGTCATGCATATATTAAGCACCGTTCTGAATGAACTAGTCTGACAGAATACAAGTTGTTTCAGATGAAGAGGATCGTATCATAGTTGCAGCCCATGCCATCCATGGAAACAAATGGGCATCAATTGCAAGGCTTCTGCCTGGGAGAACAGATAATGCTATTAAGAATCACTGGAATTCTACCTTGAGGCGTCGGTGCATGGAACTTGGCAAGTTTAAGTCGGAGTCCAGCAATATGGCGGAAGATGCTAGCCTGGATATATCCAAAGCATCATCAGAAGAAACTCTTTCATGTGGGGATGTCAATTCATTCAAGTGCATGGAAGGAAAAGAAGTCAGTTCTCAGGAAAACGTGGATAATCAGTACGAAGATATGGCTCAAGTAGAAGGTCAGTGTAGTGACAAAGCAAAGGATCCGCCCACTCTTTTCCGTCCTGTGGCACGTGTCAGTGCATTTAATGTTTATAGTACTTTGGATGGCCCAGAAGCTGCTTTACCATTTCCGAGGGTAGTTCCTATGCAACAGTCTTCGACTCAAGCCTCAAAACCCGATGATGGGATCAGCAAATTGCTTGAAGGAGCTTACGGTGAGCGATTGGTGCCTCACCAATGTGGCTATGGTTGTTGTGGGAATCAAAGTAGTAAAAATCCTCAAAGGTCTTTGTTAGGACCTGAATTTGTGGACTATGCGGAGCCTCCATCCTTTCCAACGCACGAATTGGCTGCAATAGCTACAGATATAAGTAATATTGCTTGGCTTAAAAGTGGGTTGGAGAATAGCAACGTCAAAGCCATGGATAATGCACCTGGCAGGGTAGTGTATAAATGGTCTCACAGTCACGGGCAAATGGGACGTTTTGAGAAGATAATAAAAGATGACCATTTACGTTCTGAAGAGGGAAAGAACAAGTTCATGGGCATGAAAACTTTTGTGCTGTCAACCCCAATCAATCGGCAACCTTTTCCAGTATGAGCAAAAGTCGGGGGTCTAAGTTGATTTGAGTGCTTGTATATGCACAATTCACTGAATGCAAAAATGCAGGAGTGTGATCTAATGAGAAAATAAGTCAGCACTCTTGCCTTGTCAATAGGAGTTGCATTACTTAGAGAGCTGTCATTGCAAATTGCAAAATTGGTTATTGGTAAAAGAATCCTGCAGACGAGGTGATGTAGCTTTTCAATTGACTAGGGAGCTTAAAATCAAATTGAAGTACAGGGATGGGATGTTGGTTACTTCACATGCGGAAAATCTTTTTAGCTTCTTTGATTGGTCCTGTGGTGCACATTTGGATTGTTGTATTAGTGAAAATGTAAGCTTTTATAGTAGGAAATTTTTTCTTCTTCTTGTTATTTATAGAACTTTCATCTTTATGTCAGAAACTTTCACCGGAAAGGTATGGAGAATCTTCTTTGCAACAAGTAAATGATTAATTTGTTGAAGCCACCTTGATTTGATTACACTATGAAGGCATGGAATAGTAGAGCCATTATTTTAAATCTTGAACAAGATATGGATGGAGTGGAACCTTTTGTTTTTCTTGCGAAACGATTTGGTGCGTTGTCACTGTCATCTGGAATTATCTTCTGATAGAGCTTGATACCCTCTATATGGTTTATTTAGGGTTGATTTCATTCTCTCTTGATTTTTCTGATTAGTATTCCCGGTGACAGAAATTTGAGTTCTCATAAGGCCATTTGCTAAACCGACTGTTAGTAAATTGCAAAAAGGTGCAGATAAATATTTTTTTCTTTTCTTTTTCCAGGTATTATTTTGATCTGCTAATGGATGTCCCTGCGACCCAAATATGACAAAGGTTGACTAGTTTCTCTAGTGTAATTGCTTGCACGCTTGTCCTTGAGGGTAGGGGGCGGGATTGGGATGGTGGTTGGCGAAAACCAACCAAGTAGTTTGCAGTAATGGGTGTGCGTTTATTCATTTATTTAAAAATTAAGTTATTGAGTAATGCTATATACTCATTCATTTATACCCATTTATTTTTTCATCCGTATCCGATGTGGGACAAGCTCCCCCATCTGAATTCACAACGCCTTCATTGTAGCTCGGGTCACTTTACCTATTCGGAATGAAGACCCGAACGCCTTTTGGGGCGGATGCTTGTTGTGACACCGAATCAAGGACTTAATTTCGCTCTCAAATCAATTATAACGGGTGAATGCTTGCTCATTTATTTAAAAACTTAAATTATTGAGTAGTACTGCATACTCACCTATTTATATTTATTCATTTTTCCTTTCAGATTCGATATGAGACAAATTCCCCTGCAACACCACTGCCCACTGGTAATGCTAATGAAAAGATTAGTGTAGATAAAATTTGTTTTGATACAGAACCAGAAGAAATGTGGTCTAAATAGTGAATGAATGTTTGAGTTGAACAATCAAGGTTGAGGGGCTTCCTGACATTATGTTTAATGAAAATAGAAAACTTCAAATACTTGAGAAATGAAATATAGGAACATTTCAATGTGACATAAAAGGCTGCTGCAGATGAAAACAACAGATCATGTGTCTGAGAGTGGGGACTATTCTAGAACTGAGAGGACTGGTGTTTTGTTTGTTTGTTTTCTGACAAGCAGCCTTGTGAAAGGAAAAGAAAAGTTGAAAAATAAAATAAAAATCAGCAAAACCAAACATAAGATTCTACTGTACTGGTTCCCCCTCACTCTTTAACCACCACCACAATAATGCTTACTTGTCCTATTACTTGCTCATCTTTCAATTCTTCGGTTTCACACCTTAGACTTTGAGCTGTGAAAGTGATTCGAAACTGCCTTATCTGAATGGGGTTGTTGGTTGCATATCTTTTCATATTATTTAAATATGGGAAAGAAAAAGAAATAAGTAAAGTGGACTTGGTGGTCTTCATCTTCAACAAAAAGGCCAAAACCAAGTTGGCCTCACCTCACCACTAAACAACATGGATCCTTTGAATAACTAATGTCCACACTCAAAAATGGGCAAAATTCTTGTGATATACTGGTACTACTATTTTGGAAACTTTGACAAAAAAATAAAATAATAAATAAATAAATAAAATGGAGTGAATGAGGATAATGTCACAATAAGTGGATGATATATTTATCAATAAAAGAAATTGAAAGATTTCATTATGTAGAGAAACTTCACATCAATTTCTCTTATATTGCCAAGTAGAAGAAGTCAAAAGTGGGATCTCAATCATTTCATTAATAGACTATGAAATTCCTACCTATATCCACTTCATTACATTACATTTCATTTCATTTCATTTTCTGTGAATCTTCAGAGTATTTTAACCACATTTAGTTGTTTTATTCTTCACGCAAAGTAAGTAAATACACGTCAATGACTTGACTTGGGCTGGTCCACCTAGTCAATAACCACGGAACTCTATGTCTGATCCATGATGCTGACACCTTTGTTTGTTTGGATGCTCCCTTTGCCTACAATTTTTTTGTGTTAAGTATTTTTTCTGTATATGTGACACTTTTACTCAACAATTTAATATTTATTATTTTAAAATAATAAGTTTTGTTAATTTAAAATAATAATGGTATTGCACTTTTCTAATTACAGTTACATATTTAAAGTAGGGTGAACAGCATAAAACACTCCTAAAATATGTTTGTAGTGCATATAATATCATTCACGTGCAAAAAAAAATCTATAAAGTTTTAATTTAGTGCAAATAGGTTTATCTGACAAATTTAAACCTTAAATTGACTAAATTATCCTTACTGATACATTTTATAAACTGACCAAAAAAGACATTATTGGAGGACGCCGGCATTGGATAAGTAAAGATAAAAATAGAAAATAAAAATAAAAGTATAAAAAAAAAGTAAAGACAAAAATAAAAAATAAAAAATAAAAATAAGTGCAAACTAAATAAAACAAATTTGCTATAAACTCTGAAAACTAATGCATATTGATATTGGAATTATTATTATTTTTGTTTAAAAGTTTTGGTACGAAATAAAATAAAGTAAAGAAAAAAAATTTTAGTAAAAAACAGTAAATTGAAATCTCAAAAATTCAAATCCTTATTTAACAAATTCTCAAAGTTAAAAATAAAAAAAAAACAAAAAGATAATGTGAACATAACACTCCTATACTATATACTATGATATTAGTAGTATATATTCTTTCTTGGATATTTTTTGAAGAGTAAAAAGACAAAACATGTATTATAATACTAATTTATGTCAACTTGAGTATTTTTTGCATAATGTGAAAAGATTAAGGATTATTTTTGCACACTTTTTCAAATTAAAAAAAAAAAATTACCACACAGAATATAGTTTAAAGATGTTTTTCCCCTTTAAAGTAAGAAAAATGATACTTTGAACAAGGAAATGCAAGTGCTATGATATGAGGCTTCGACTAATTTATTTTTATTTTTTCTTAATTCGTATTCAAATACTCCTTCAAAAAATTGTTTACACCTATTGTATTCTCAATATAACGATAATGTAGCGGAGTGTATCCATTTCAATTTCCAAATTATAAATAATTGGTAATCCAAAATATTGGAATCTAATGCTATTTTTTAATAAAAATCAAAATAAAATATTGATGAGTCAAGTAGTACGAGGCAGAGAGATTGAAAGATGTGATGATGTGACAAGCAAAAAAAAAGGGGAAAAAATGGAGGAAAACTACTTATAGTAGACTTAGTAGTCTTAAATAACAAAATAGTATACTTTTAAAGTTTATTTTTTAATTTAATTAAATTAAGTAAATTAATTACAAATATATCAATAATTATTTTTAAGGTCTAAAATACTACTCAAACTCTAATTCTAAAATATTAACATATCCTTATAATTATATAAGAATAATAATACTTGGTCCAATATTTTAGAGCTTAATTTGTTTCGATTCTTACGCAGCATGGACACATCATCGCTCTTACCATTTTTTTGTCTTTCCAAAAGGACGTTTCTCTCTCTCTTCAATTAGATTGGGTTCCATTCCCTCTATCTTCTCTTCTTCATTCCGTGCCCCTCATTATCTTCATCGTCTCTCTCTCTTCCCTCTCGTTCCAGTATGAACAACCACTTTGATAAAATGGCTTGTCTTTGTTGTATTCCTCATCTATCTTGTACAGTGGCTTAAGCTTCATCTTTTTATTTACAATGATTTGCTTACCAAAAATAAATAAAGGATAAAGTGAAAATTTTGGTTCTTGGGTCAATTGATCTATATCCAAAAAAAAAAAAAAAAAAAAAAAATTCAAAAAATTTTGAAATCAGAAAAGATCTAATTGAAGAGAGAGAAAGTCTCATTGAAGAGTGAAAATCTATTTCAAAATTAAGAATAAGAGTCACAACTTAAACCATAAACATTTAGGGTTGATCCCAAATTTTACTATTAAAGAGAAAATAAAAAAGAGTGAAAAAATCAGACCATGTCTAATTAAAGATATGGTATATGTATAAACATGTAAATAGTACATATAAAGAGGGAGAAATGTCGTGTAAAAAAAAATTGAATTTCCAAGATATTCCTTAATCTTTTGTCATGCTTGTTGCAATGGATTTGATTTTCTTCACAAATTTTCTCACTCACGCTCCTTCCAAACTCAAGATCCACCGTCAAGATTCAATAGTTTCTTAATTGACATCTGGTATTTTGAAATTATATTACTCTAAGGATATTTTGGTATTTTAGAATAAGAGTTTGGAGGGTGTTTTGGACCTTAATAATTATTATTGATGTATTTGTAATTATTTTATTTAATTCAATCAAATTGAAAAATTAACTTTAAAAGTAGATTATTTTATTATTTAAGGGTACTAAGCCTACTTATATGTCCAGGTTTAACTGTGTGACAAAGAATTCAGTTCACCTAATAAACAAACAAGTAACGTAAGAATCACGGCTAATTCAATTGAAAATTAATGTCTTTTGGGAAAGTAATTGGAAGGTAATTTTACGCTCAACAAACTTCCATTTTAATGAAGACAATCATCCGCATAGAGACATCACACATCTTACTTTAAGTCATCCTTGCAGTGTATATATGTCTATATTTATTAAGTAAACATACACCATTTATATTAATACTTGGAATAAATTTTTGTGGATATATTAACAAATATTTGGCTAGGTATGAAAGATATATTCGATTGGACTTGATAAAAGAATATGCCAATAACATGATTGAAAAAAAAAATTGATAACTAGTTTTGATTCGAATTCAATGTTGACTCGTTTTTCAACTCACCGCTAATCAAGTAAATTTGTTTTATAAATAGGTAATTTTTATTTTTATTATTTTTATTTTTTTTAAGAAAAAAGGCAAGAAAAAAATAAATAATTGGTACTAAAGAACATTGTTTAGTGGTACTTTGTAAGCGAGAAGTCCCAATTTATATATATTCATTTTATATTTTTATCTGAATTCGATGTGATACAAGGCCCCTTTTGTAATATTCTTTTTCATTTGAACTCGTAATGCATTTGTTATAGTCGGACCTCCTTGTTTATTCGGACATCTTTTTAGCCAACGCTTGGCATCATGGATGGAGCCATAAATTTTTTTTCAAAGGGAGCCATTGTATATTATAATATATATTTAGAGAATAATATATATACATATAAACCAATGTTAAGGGGTATATATATAAATATATATAGAGAGACGGATAGTTATATATAGAGAGAAATATATAAGTAAATTAATAAAGGGAAATGCACTTCACTAAAATTTTAAATGAAATGGCAATTTTAACTCTAACTTTACAAGTAAATAATAATTATTTTTTAAATGACACAATTGCCCTTTTAGATTTACTCTCTTTATCTCTAATAATCTTTTGACAAGACAAAAAAAAAGAAAAAAAGAGAAGAAGATTTGAATAAAGTTTTTTTTATGGGACCAACAAAAAAAATTATGTTGAATAAATTGCCTTTTTTGACTGGAACAAAAAAAATAAAAAAGTAACCATTAAAAAAATTATCAGAAATTTTCTTTTAATCTCTTTTAACATGAAAAAAAAAACCCCCAAAAAATATATTTATTGAAGAAATTATTTTTTTTGGGTCAAAATTCCAAAAAAAAAAGTATGAAAAGAAGAGGATTAAAAAAAATATATCTATTTGTATAAGACAAAAAAAAAAGGTTATTTTTATCGAATAAATTATTTCTTTTGACAAGACCCATAAAAAATTATCAAAAAAAAAAAAATGTTTCCTCTTTTGATAGAACTGAAAAAAAGTTAACTTTGATGAATAAATATCCCTTTCATTGTACAAAAAAAAAATGTAATTATGAAATAAATTATCTCTTTTTACTGTCAAAAATAAAATTATTAGTATGGAATAAATTATTTTCTTTTAGAGGACCTCCGGAAAAAACTAATAGAAAGGAAAGAATAAATAGTAAAGAAGGTAAAAAAAAAGTTAAAGTTATATAATGGGTATTTATGACATTATAAATTAAGTTATGGTACATTAATGAATTTAATGACCTTCTTGTCATCTTCTTTATATATATATATATATATAAAGATAAATAGAGTGTAATTAGAGAAGAGTAAAGTGCGAATATCGCCATAAATTATATATGTAGAATATAAAGAAACAATTTAAGGAAACACATTAAAAGAGGGAGAAAATTCACCCCACTTTACATATATTAAAAAAATATACAAACAGATTACAACAAATTTATATAGAATATAAGGGAAATGAGAAAATTTAGGGGGCAATGTGTCTCCTAGTTCTTAACTCTCTTGCATAACAATAGAACAAGAATTAAGTTTAATTCTGATACTAACAGTAACAAACTTAAACTAGTAAGTGCAATTATCACTGAACCCATATAATATTCAATTTACTTTTTCAATATGAAACAACTCCCCTTGTGGGAGGCAAAGGGGCAAAGTAGTTTAAAATATAAAGTAATAATAAAAAGTATTTTCTCTTAACTATCTGGTTTTGACAACATATAATTGATCTGTTTTTATTTACAATAAATACTTGTTTTTTTGGACAAGATATTTAACTTTAACCAATGTAAATATCATTTTTAGCAAGTACTTGGATTAAACTAATCCTAATTCAACTAAGGATTATATGTATGCAATGGTAAAAAAAAAAAAGAAAAGATTATATATCTCCATTCTCGGATTTTTGAATTTTAAGAAAAATTAATAGAATGGCATTTTGATTTTTTTAACTAAGGAAAGTATTTTAGTAATTCTACGTGTCTCTAACTGCACATTGACATGGTTGAAGATTTTTTCTTAAATAGTTTAATTATTATTCTTATTATTAGTATTTTTTCTGTGAATAAACTATAAACACACAATTATATATAAACAGTGGCGTTCGTCTACACTAGTAAACCAGTTGAAACGGAACTACAGAGTTCAATATAAAAAAATTCATTTAGAAAACCTTCGTGTACGTCTCGAAAAAAGACAGAGAAAGTAAAAGAAGGAAATTTCTCAAGTATAAGGAGAGACAAGAAATACATTTTTCCTCTTACTCTCGTCTGATCTCTCCTCTGTTCTCTGTTCTCGGTTCTATTCTCTGTCTCTCGCATTTCACTACCAACTGTAGCTTCCAAATTTTCTTCATCTCTCTATTCACCTTTTCTGTCTCCGTCAATCTCTGCGAAATTTCGCAAATGGGAGTTAAAAGGGTCACCTAATCCATTATCCACCCATCTAAATTCCCCATATATATATATATATATAGATATATATATTGCTCAATATGTGCACATTAATCTCTAAATTTAGTGTTTAAACCTTTCAAGCTTCAAACTTTGGAGGCTTTTGGTTCTCTGTATTTGCTTTGAATTGAGTTTTCTTGGTTCCGGGTCTCCGAAATGGCGAGTGTAGAGATGACCCACGTCGATTTAGAATGTGGTGATCGCCGCCACTCCTCCGCCGTGAGCGACGGAGGTAGCAGCGAAGACGGCAGCGTCTATTTTTACGACGCTGACGAGGGTGTCCGTTATACTCAATTCTATTCAACCCGTGATGGGTCATTCGATCATTACAGTTTTGCTTCTGCTCCCGATCCTGTGATTAATGGCGTTTCAGGCTCTCGCCGCGGAATGTCCACGGCGGCGGCGGAGTCGGATTGTGTGGTGGATATTGAAGATGAGGTTGGTGAAACCAAGGTGCAATCGAGGAAAGTAGAGAGAGATTGTAGAATTTGCCACCTGACTTTGGAGAGTAGCAATTCTGAGTCTGGGGTTGCCATTGAATTAGGTTGTTCTTGCAAGGATGATTTGGCTGCTGCGCATAGGCATTGTGCTGAGGCATGGTTCAAGATTAAAGGAAATAAGTGAGTTTAAACCCTAATTTTTTTTCCCTTTTTGGCCGTCACTAATTGAATTTTATGCTATATGTTGTGAATTGAAGATACCCATTTGGTATCACGTGGCATTTTGCAAATAAATATCTTTATGTAATTTGTGTCAGTAAATATTGCTGTACTGTTTACAGTTTATATACTACCTTGTGAGTACAATACTGTAATAATGATCTTCTGATACTGTTTTATTTCTAAAATCCCTAATAAATTATTATGAGTATGTTTTACTTTGGAGTTTTGAATTAACATTGTACTTAAAAGAGAATAATTGCTTTTAAAATATAGTTCAGGTGTACGATTGTTTAGATTAATGAAATACAGGAGATTGTGCTAATTAAAGAAGATGAGAGAATAAGTGAAGCAAAATAGTAAAGCTGTAGGAAGAATTCTGTATAGGTCTGATTGAACAGAAGATTCTTTCCATTCTGTCCTTTACTAAAGTTGAGAGAATTCTCTATCTAATTGAGATTCCCCTTTTCTTTATCAAAGTGGAGTTTTGACTCCTTATTTGGCAGAAGCAGAAGATTATAATTTTGCCGCTTCTCCACTTTTTATATTTTTATTCTTTGTATGAGGATTCGGGACTTTCTGATTATTTTATATATCTATTGATAGCTATTGTTTCATATATATATATATATATAGTTAGGAGTTTAGTATAATTGGATACTAAAGTTACAGTGCAAATTGTCTGATACTTAGTATGATTCTTTATGTCAAAGTTTTGTGTTGATAGTGCCATTTGGATGAATTTGTGATTCACAGTACCACTTTTGATACCAATCCTTGGCAAAGCCTAGCTACCCACCCTATGCTCTCTCATCAATGAAATCTTATAATTGACTGGGAAACTCTTACATTTGTATTATATTTCAACATTTTGAAAAAAAGTAAAAACCGCATGGACTAAAATCATGCTCCAATTTAAACTCGAATTTCCTCAACCTAGTAGCAGGTTCTAATCTGACAACCTGATAAAGACAAACCCATTAGATCTGATGTTCTATGAGATGATCTCAACCATCCATTAATCATTTGATCCTGTCCTCATGCGTTTGGACCATCCCTGAACTCCATTACATTTTACTTAGCATTTGAAGGTGAAAAATTCATCATCAAGAATGTGGGCCATTGACGAACATAGATCTATGACCGCAATAAAAGGATGTATTTCTATGGTTTCTTAAAATGCTATCATCACACCTTTATAATCATCTATGGGTAGTTGCTATTTCTCAGATGACCTAATATAAGGTTATGCATTTCTGCCATTATATTACTTAAATAACATATTCAGTGCATGTAAAGATAGTTTGTAGGTAGATTTGATTGAGTCAAAATTATGTTGTGGATGTATTTTGTAGATATTTGGAAAACCGGTCCATGTATTAGAAATTTGGGAATTGATGCTTTCCACAAAAAACAAGATTAGCGGTGATTCATGCCTTCCCTTGGCTCCCTTGTAGTATCAACTGATCACGTCAAACGGCATTATTAGATTGGCATCCGATGTTGTTCATGCCATAAGTTAGTTATTCTTCTATTAGCTCGGATGTTTTAGTTTAACTTTTTCCTCCCATAAAACTATAGAAAGTTTTGTTTTGCAGTCTGTTCTGTATCGTGGCTGCTAAGATAAGCTTTCATTTTTTATGTTTTTGTTATTTATTTTTTAAGTTCTTAAAGCATTCTCTATCTTAAACTAATTGTTTCTCGAGCAACTAATAGTAACCAAAGATAGAGTAATCTCGTGGCTGGAAATATTTAAAAGTTTTGTGAAGCTCTTCCTTTACTAGTTCCTTCTTTTCCTTTGTATTTCACTCTTTTTGGGGTAGAGAAAACCACATTGGTCTTAAGCCATATGCAAAATCTATGATAAATATGGTATATATTATCTAAGTGCACCACCAAGGGAATGGTATCTCCTCACTCTCTAAAGTAAAAGATTGATCAGAGGGGGCAATGACACCTTTAGATTGCTTAGTGAAAAGTGGGAATGATCTGCCGTGAAATTCAGTTATTTTACCCCTTCATTCTTTTTTCCCTCATGTAAGTTAATTTGCTGCTAGTCATGGTAGTATTACTCTAGTTCGGCTATAAATGTGTTTTGGGTATTAAATTTTGAATTTGGGCCATTGAGCTCTCTCTCTCTCTCTCTCTGAAGTGCCAATGACTTTGAAGTTGCATTTCAGCAATAGATGAGGTCCGAGTAATTCACATATAATAACTAAACGTGTGAAACATGTGCAAAGCAGTTAGTATGAGCAAAGCACTCCATAATACAAATTCACAATTCACAATTCCCCTCAGTTGGGATCATCTCCTTTAAAATCAGTTCCGTCCATTTATTTCTTTTTCTTTTTCAATATTATTCTCTTGTATTTTTGTCATTCTCTACTTATATATTGATCAATTGTTGCTCAACATTTGCAGGACGTGCGAAATTTGTAACTCAGTTGCACGCAATGTTTTTGCCACAAATGAGATTGAGTCATCACAGCATAGGAATGAAACCAATGTCACCGCAACAAATGCAGTATCAGAGCCAGTGAATTCAGCCCCAGCTCCAGTGCCTTTTGCTGTAGACACCCGAAGTCGCTTGAATGGTCACCGGATCCTGAATTTCATTCTTGCTTGCTTGGTATTTGCGTTTGTCATATCTTGGCTCTTTCACTTCAACATCCCATCATGAAATCCCGCAGAAAAGTTCTCAGGCAAAGGAGGAATGGGGGAGGAGACTTGTGAAAGGGACTGCAAGTTCTCAATGATGTGATAATGAACAATGGGATATTTCTAAGCCTGCGGCATTTATATAGATAGTTGTTTGGTCTTTCATTCCTCCATAAGTGTTTATAATTAGATAGTATATGTTTGCATGTTTCTTGTGAGTCATTGGAGTGATACAGGGCTTTCTTGTTCCTTTCAATAGAAATGCTCTTGTTGGTTATACCATTAAAGGTTCAGTTTTTTAATTTTATGATGTATTGTATTGAAGACACTGGCTTCTCATAATTGCAGTTGTTCCACTGGTATTTTTGCATGCTATTTACAGGTTACCCTTGTAATTTTTTCATTCTGGTTTTTAGAATTTTTGATAATTTATGAACAGATTACTACACGTGTGGAAATACTTGAATGTACTGGCACAGGGATATTTTATTATAGTGCTGAGATGATAATGAGTTTTTACTGGAAATATTTGCCATGTTCTCAACCTGAAAAACAATATAGTTTTATAAAGTAATATTATCTTAAAAATGGAGACCAGAAAGGGGTTTGGTTATGTTATGTGAAAATAGTATTCACCAGGAGTAGAAACAAAAGACTGTTTGAAACAAAGGATCGTAGGCTTTCTTTGCCTATGTATTCGAAAATATAACTGTTTGGAAGTTTATTTTATTGTTAGAAAATGACTAAAAACAAAGTTAAAAGGGATATTTTAAGAGAATAATCTTTGTCTTTTTTGTTTTCAAAATTTTTGAAAATTGTTTTTCAGATAACAAAACCAAACATGTTCAGCCTTTTGAAATTATTATTCCGTTTTTTACTATTTTTTGAAAATACAATTTTCACAGGTGATGAATCTAATTGGTCAGTGTTGGGAAAATATATGCTTCATGTGATATTTAAGATATAACAAATCTTATACTAATACTAATATGTCATGAGATAATTAACAATATGCTAAGAAATCATTAATTAAATATGCAACTCTATATTTAATTAAATATGCAAAATAAATTAATGAAATAATAATTATAAATAAAGAACCTAAACCGAGGCTAGTATTGGATACTATGTCCTTAAGACAGATTCGCCCCGCTATGGTGCTAACGGACTCAGTGGCATCTATCTCCCAGGATACAACGGTCTACATCCACCAGTAGCAGCACTACAAACTCGTGGATATGACGAACATTCTCCGTGTAATACTCGCTTTGACTCAAAAATGCATCTATACTATATAAATGCTGAATTGGGTACAATTCGAATCAAATAGTTCGGACCAATCTTAATATGGCTCGATGAAATTGGATTAGGGTCGAAGTGGCTCGAACTACTTAACCTATGGTTTGAACCCACTTGGGTTGGGTTCTAGTCTAGAGAGGGAGATAAAAGAAAATGAAAATGAATGAATTGTAAATGATCCAAAGGGGGGTATTTATAGAAACAGTTATGCCTTTTCGGATTGGGTGTATCTCTTCATTATTGGACACAACCATTGCAATAGGTTGCAATGGTTCACATGGTGTTTGTTCACAAATAGACACATCCATTCCAATAGGTTGCAATGGTTCACATGGTGTCTGTTCACCAATAGACACATCCATTCCAATAGGTTGCAATATGCCTTTTCGAGTGGGTGTAACCATGGGTCATGATGGTTCGGAAAAAGGTGTAACCCTTTGAAAAAACTAAAAAGTGGTTTTTTAATTTAAAAGGTGTAACCATTTAGAAAAACTAAAATATGGTTTTTTAATTTAAAATGTGTAACCTTTTAGAAAAACTAAAAAGTAGTTTTTTTAATTCAAAAAACCAACCACCCAAAAAACCCACTCATTTGGGAAACCCATTTAAATAAGCCCAGCTCAAAATTAGGCCCAATCCAAAATTCCAAAAAAGAATAATCTGGACTTTACAATTAGGCCCAAGTCCAAGCCCAAATCCTAAACTCAGCTTATTTAAATTTTAATTTGTTTCAACATTTTTTCTATGTGGAACAAACACTTCCCACATTTTGCATACCCATTTAGGCTTATCAAAACACCACACTTTGGAGCTAATTTCTCATTCATCCGGAAACGGATTTCAGAAAGTAAATATACCACGTTCATCTCTTTGCGGAGAGAAACGCGCTTGTCTAGAGATCCGTAAAAAATTATTAGCGGTATTTCAAATCTCATCCAAAGTTTATGTTTTTAATGCCCCCGTTTCCAACAATCCCCCACATGAATGGAAATTTGCGTAAAATGCAAAAGATGATCATGCAGACACTAGAGAGAGTATAGTCGAAAAGTTACTGCATCAGGATAGGTGGCTTTTGGCTTTGAACCTTCCCTAGTGTATTGCTATCGGATTTACTGGCTAACCAGTGAACGCGATGTCTTGAACTGTTCAGCCGTTTGTGTAAACCAAGACAATAACAAACACACAGTAGCTTTCCTCACAAAGTTGGTTCTCATTGTTGTGTTTATTTTGGCTCTGAACAAGTCCTGGTATTCAATAAGTGCTCTAGAAAACTTAGCCTTTATAGTTCTCATAGAAGCGGCCCTACTTCACACTCATATAGGTGACTTCTTATTAAGAGTATCCTACCAAATCCCACTTGAATTTTCAAGGTATAAGAGTCATTAAAAGCGTAGCTTATCCTGATCATCGCTGTAAGTAGCACTGTCTCATCATAGAAATAGGTAGAAGATTTATATCTTCCCAGTGCTTTTGGTGAGTCACTCAGAATTATTGTTGTCCCTTTGAACCTAGATCTTGGGATCTCCAGTCAGCTAGGTTGGGTTTCCATTAAGGTGACTCGTTAGCTTTCGGCTTTAAACCCCATTCCCCTCGATGAACTGTACAATTGCTCTCTAGTACAACCTTCAATGTTATATGTGGCCACAAGGTTGTGTTTAGAAATATTACACTCTACAGAGATTTCTCCAGGTGAGAGCAATTGTATACTTTGTGCCCTAATATTGCTTATTGTTAGCAATATCATTTTCTTTAGTGGCACATGTGTAGACTTACTTTGAATTTTCCTCTAGGTGAAGTCAATTGACTTTCCTATTTGATTTATTCAAAGTTTCTAACTTTGAGTTATATTAAGAACATAGAACTACACCTTTAATATAAAAGACATATCCACTATTGGATTTGAAGTCTTTAATATCCCATATCCAGATTGCATCACTGTTACACCTCCAATTTAGTTAGATACCTCGATCTATGCAATATTGGATTTGGGGTGTATCTCAACTACCCAATTTATTGTTTTTTTTGGCGATCAGATCCTGGATTGAAAATGTGCAATTAAACACAGTTATTAAGATGCCTTGCAATCTCAACCAATGATATACTTTGGCTAGTATTTATATTTGAGATTTACATCTACAAAAGTTAGCTAGGTTTTTGTTATCATAACTAGTATTATCTCAATCTCACTCTATTGAGAATATACTATGTTATTAGATGTTAAATCTTTCATATCAAATATACTAATTAGTATATCATTAAATTTTTTTTTTTTTTTTTTAAGGCATACAATGACTTATACATCACATTTATGTCATTGTCTTGGTACTAGCTTTAATCCACTCAAGGACTTATAAGCTTGCACACTTTACTCTTCAACTAGAACAAATAACTCAGCTCTTCTGCTAGAAAAAGAACTTTTCTAGTTGTTCCATAATTTTTCCTCATAGGAAACAACATGCACTATTGTTATAATATTATAAATGATTTTTGGTTCTATCCAAAATTTCTTAGGATTAAGAACCCTATATTTATAAGTATTTTTTATTTAGTGAGGTAACTCATAGCAAATTTTATCTATGGACAATATCCCCCCACAACTTTGAGATAATCCTGAAATTTTATATATGATATATTTCTTATGGTTTTCTAACTCTTGAAATACCATATATTAAATATTTCACCTCATCTACCTTTCCAAGGTTCTATATTCGTTTTTCAACAAGCATGTCTAACAGTCTCTAGTGCATATGTATTTACTTTATCTCTAACTTGTTTTTATAATATGTCACTGACGTTACTGTGAATTAATGCTAGAGATATGAGCTTTAATTAATATTTACTTCTACATCTCTTGTATTTATGAATTGAGTTATTCAAGTTAAGTTAGTCATATTAACATATCATAACCTTTTATGTGTCACACATCACATAACTCAATCATTTAAGCAAATAATTATCTTATTATTTAAGTTTTGGATACAATCACCACAGAGTGAGCACTCACTTCTCAAGTATTATTACACACTCTTCTCATATCTCACTACTAAGTTATGATGAACACCCACTTTTCAGTTATTACCGCTAGCTTGAAGTTAAGTTTGTTTAGCTAGCAATTCTAGTAGCTCATAGCTTTAGTACACATTTATCTAAGTGGTCTATCTTGGTAGTAGAGTTATTTGTTTTGAAGAATATTCTTCAAAAACTACTACTTTACAAGTAGTATTATTCCCTCCTACATGAGCAGATATGATGTATAACTCAAATAGCTTATGGCTAAAATGGCTACTCATCACCCTTATGTTTTTTTTTTTTTACTATCAAGTTAAGAGGTAGAACCAACTGACAGTTTTTCATCTTCCTCTTAGATTCTCTGTACCTCATTAATCATTTTAGCTTATACCTAAGCTAACTAGTTTGCAACTCAATAACATTTTAGCTTTTAGCTAAATTGTATATTAGAGCTATCTAGCTTGATTTAGCTTGTCTTGGTGTACTTGCTTAGTGTATCCATAACATTTTCCATTAAATTCTTTCGAGTTATTGGAAAATTTTATCTGATTCAGCCCATTTACAGCTATACATGTCTTAAACACTAGTATAGATTGTTTTCCTTTGACTATCAGAAGAGTTGACATAGTTGGACTAGTCCATTCATACAAAATTCAATAATATCACATATTAAATAAATTATGTTATAAATTTGAATTACAATACACATTAAGTAATTCAATTACATAGTTCAATATTATAGTATCAAATGAAAGTAAACATTTATAAAAATAATATTAAACTTACATAACAATATAGTTTCATATTATATCACATGATTAATTATATCACATAATTAATTATATCACATAATTAATATAAGAAATAATAATAATCAAGAGAAGAATTCGCTTCCTTAAAGCTTTGTGGCTTATTCTTCAATAAACATGCTAGAAAATCAGGAATAAAAGATTTAGACGTTCTAACCTTTTTATTACCTCTAAGCTCATTTTTATTTTCATTGTATGATTTATGCACAAGGAAATGATATGCAATACTGTTATGAGCATAACCTATCAAAGGTTTTATGTGTAGGGACTGTGCACTTGTAGCTCGCCTAGTGTGGTAGCCTGTTAGTGCCTCTTGCACTCGTCCACGACACACTCACCTACAAGGTTGTCACATTTTAGGTCCACTCTAACCTTTCATAGGAGTATGATCAGCAACCTTAAATAGACACCCCTACACTTTTAAGAATTTATAGAAAGATTTTTAACCTTTCCATAATTCATATGATATCACATTTCTAAGGTTTCATTTTTGCTTCGTGGCAAATACACATAACGGTATCTTGTGCAACCAATGATAAAAGTAACGAAGTACTTTTTTCTACCTCTAGTTGGTACATGTTTAAGGTAATGTCATATACTTCATAATATCATATTACAAAATTAAATAATTCAACCAATATTGAATAATTCAATAATCCACTTATATAACATGCTTCAATTTCACATAATATTGAATGCATTAATATTTAACATATTATCATATAATAATATATATAACATTATTTTATCATATCTCAATTATTAGTATAATATCTACTTGTTTATATCTTAAATAGAAACATATAATAAAATCTACGCAAGGAAGGAATCTGTCTTAAGATTGTTGGGAAAATATATACTTCATGTGATATTTAAGATATAACAAACCTTATACTAATATGTCATGAGATAATGAACAATATGCTAAGAAATCATTAATTAAATATGTAACTCTATATTTAATTAAATATGCAAAATAAATTAATGAAATAATAATTATAAATAAAGAACCTAAACCGAGGCTAGTATTGGATACTATGTCCTTAAGACAGATTCGCCTCGTTATGGTGCTAACGGACTCAGTGGCGTCTATCTCCCAGGATACAACGATTTACATCCATCAGTAGCAGCACTACAAACTCGTGGATACGGCGAACCTTCTCCGTGTAATACCCTCTCTGACTCAAAAATGCATCTATGCTATATAAATGCTGAATTGGGTACAATTCGAATCAAATGGTTCGGACTAATCTTAATATGGCTCGATGAAATTGGAACAGGGTCGAAGTGGCTCGAACCACTTAACCTATGGTTTGAACCCACTTGGGTTGGGTTCTAGTCTAGAGAGGGAGATAGAAGAAAATGAAAATGAATGAATTGCAAATGATCCAAAGGGGGGTATTTATAGAAACAGATATGCTTTTTCGGATTGGGTGTGTCTCTTCATTATTGGACACAACCATTGCAATAGGTTGCAATGGTTCACATGGTGTCTGTTCACCACTAGACACATCCATTGCAATAGGTTGCAATGGTTCACATGGTGTCTGTTCACCAATAGACACATCCATTCCAATAGGTTGCAATGTGCCTTTTCGAGTGGTGTTACCATGGGTCATGATAGTTCGGAAAAATGTGTAACCCTTTGAAAAAACTAAAAAGTGGTTTTTTAATTTAAAAGGTGTAACTATTTAGAAAAATTAAAATATGGTTTTTTAATTTAAAAGGTGTAACCTTCTAGAAAAACTAAAAAGTAGTTTTTTTAATTCAAAAAACCAACCACCCAAAAAATCCATTCATTTGTGAAACCCATTTAAATAAGCCCAACCCAAAATTAAGCCCAATCCAAAATTCCAAAAAAGAATAATCTGGACTTTACAATTAGGCTCAAGCCCAAGCCCAAATCCTAAACTCAGCTTATTTAAATTTCAATTTGTTTCAATATTTTTTCCATGCGGGACAAATACTTCCCACATTTTGCATACCCATTTAGGCTTATCAAAACACCACACTTTGGAGCTAATTTCTCATTCATCCGGAAACGGATTTCAGAAAGTAAATATACCACGTTCATTTCCTTGCGGAGAGAAACGCGCTTGTTTAGAGATCCGTAAAAAATTATTAGCGGAATCTATTTCAAATCTCATCCAAAGTTTATGTTTTGAATGCCCCCATTTCCAACAGCCAGCTGCTTGGTTCCAACCAACCTCCAATGTAAATTTTAATTTTAATTTTATTTATTTATTTATTTTTTATTATTACAGGGCTTCATGTTATGATGGACCCAATGATCTGCCATTGTTTTTCATGCTCAATTGGGAGTAGGGAACAGGAAAATCATAGGACACGATCACGAATGCAGTTATTCTGAAGAATATTTTTACAGTTCTAATATGATAATGATGCTTAGTCAGATCTTCACCTAAGAGTATTTCTGCAAGGAATTTGGATCATTTTCATTTCTAATAAAAAAATTTGTTAAGCACTTAGAATAACAGTCCAACTAGTGAAGGATCATCAGATCACAACTTGGGTTAATGATAAATTAAGAGAAGGGCAAACGAACAGTGGTTTTGGAGCCTTAGACATGTCCATTCATTATGCAGAGACTATTGGGGGAAAAAAAAAATATCAACACAATGCAGCCTTTAGGGAAGGGATGGAAGAAACGTGATCTTCATAGAAATTACAAACTTACAAACAGCAGACCCTCAGATCAAGAGAGCCTAGATATTAAGAATCAAAACCAACAGTAAGATTTCTAAGAATCCATTAAAAATGTATCAAAAGAACGTGAAGGAAAAGGAGGATAACCTGGGGATAGATACAAGCCACTATAGAGTGAATAATTAAGAAAATAAAGAAGAAAAAGAGAGAGAGAAGGCTATACACTTTCAACTTTTGTTCTTTCTGGCATCCAAGTTGGTACCATCTTTGAGTGATTCTTGGGCATCAGTTTCCATCCCGAGGCTGAACAGGGCAGCCGCCTGAAGATAGAAGGCTGTGGGCCACTCCGGAGAAATCACCTGGGCTTGCATAGCATCAGCAAGAGCTTCTTGTGGCATGTCATTCATCAAGTAAGACAAGCAACGCCTTGCAAACACGGTTGGTGATACCATGGTACCTCCATCAATGAACTACATGGAAACATAGAATGACTAAATGTCTGCCCACATGAAAATGAACTTTCTGATAAACGGAGACCAACATATAAGGAATCCTTCATTGTGTTCCACCAATGCATAGTTCAAAGCCTTAATCCAGACATACTAATTAGATGAATGATCTACTGCAACCCGGTAGGTTTGCTGCATGACACCTTTGAGTCTTTGATTATTCATTTACTAATTTTTTTCAGCTGCATGATGAATGTAAGTTTCAACAACTGAACTAGACACCTTCAGTTCATCTTAATTCATTTATTTTCAAAGTTATCTAAAGCATCATATATAGTTTCGATCTTCCCTCATCATATATATATATATATATATATATATTCCCATTCTCATGCAAAATAGCATATATAAAATTTGTTAATGTCCTTATAGTCGTACAAATATATCTATGTAAGAGTATCAGCTTCCAAGGCAGCCATAGCTGGCAGCTTGGATCATTGCTGACTATCCATTATTTTGCGTTCGAATTGCTAAGGAATGACCTTGTTATTAAAAATAACTATAAGATGCTTATGGATTTCAAAAAGACTCACCTGTGAGTAGCAATCAGTGGCAGTTGTAAAATCCTTGATTCGAAAAGCGGCATCTCCTTGCTTTTTAGAATTCAAGGTCTCCTGCATTTGATTTGTCCACATTTGGAAAGAAAGCTGCAAGGCAAGAGTTCTTGAACGATATTAGAATTGTGTAACTAAACACACACACAGATGCAACATTAACCATAACATCCAGAGAAAAGGTGAATTTCATTTATATATTTAGCTAATACTACCTGTACCAGGATCTAAATCTGCCGAGTATAATGCCAGAAATCAGGAAACATATTTTGGCAAAGCAGAATACTCAAGAGCACTTGTAAAGGTATTTAACCAGGAAAGTACTAGATCACACAATTTTAGCTTCCAACATCATGATCATTACAGTTTCAAATCATCCATAAATGCACTAACAGCTTGATGAATCACTCTCTCTTACTTTCTATGCAAACTGGTCTTCCTCTCTTTACTTATGGGCAGCATTCCAAAATAGAAGAACAAAAAAGTAGACTGTGTAAAGGTAGAGGGTATTGGGGAAGAAAGAGCACACTCGCTAACATATGGGTAAGACATGAAATAGGTACTTCCAGTGAAAACAGGCACTGGAATTAAGTTCTTCCCATTCTTTCCGTTTAACATTCATGCATGATGATGAAGCCACGCATAAAAACATGCATTTAGGTTTAGGCCATTGATAAAACACCGTCACAAAATTCACATAACGAATGATAGAAATGGTATGAAGTGAACTTTTTAGTCATAAGATTTTTTCTCAATGGTACATAAAATACGAGGCACAGGCACAGAGAGCTCTTTTATGCTGCTATGAATAGAAGATCAAATTTAGGACATGCAGCAACAAACCTCATTTGCAATCCCCTCATCGTCCTTGTATCCAATCTTCTCCAATATTTCATGAATGGCAGTGAGATCCGTTCTCAAACAAGCTTCACCCAACGGCGTCAATAACAATGGTTGTGTTGAGGATGCAGTTTCAGGAGCAATACCCATCAAAACATACGAGGGAACCTGATTAAGTATTATTGAATGAGAAAACACTCTCCTCCCAGCTTTTAGAAATCAAAAATAATTTCTTCATCTGCGAAAAATATACAGCAAGTAGGAGCAATATGCAAATTAATTCTACCACCTTATTATTCATAGTCGACTTTTTTTTTTTTTTTTCTTAGTTCCCCTTCCACTTTAAAAATTATAATTCACATCAATAAAAGGAAACAAAAAGTAAAGTAGGCAAAGAAAACATTTTAATTATAAAGAACAAAAACTTATTGATGAAGGTATGAATATAAATTAACCAAATTACCTTCATTTAAACACCCCTCCCCTCCCCCCACTCAAAGAACAGGAAATAAGAAATGAGAAATAACAAGAAGGAACTCGTCAATTTTGACACACTCGAGGTATTTCAAGACACGAGCATCAGGAGGAGTATTTTTAATAAATCCTGTCTACCTCTGTTTCTTTCTGAAGAGACATGAGAGCAGTGACGAGGGACTTTGGATTTGGCCTCTCACGAGCTTCATATTGTAAACAACGAGAAGCTAATCGCACCAACTCAGTTCCATCATCATTTGTAAAATGACCCTCTAAACAAGAATCCATCAGCATCAGGAAATTCTTGCCACGGATCAGGTCAAGCGCCTGCAAGGCATATAGAAAGTGATGCTTAATATTTTGGTACTAAAAAACAATGCAGTCAGACAAACAAGTTTCTAATATTAAACAGGTTGAAATTTAAGCTGTCAAATAATTAAAGAAAAAAAGAAAAAAAGAAAAAAAACAGCTTATTACAATTTTGAGCATATTTGAAAGTTATTGTTGAACTTCTAATGCTGTAGAAACAAAGCATCCGTATTTTGTTAAAACTCCAATTGCTAGATTCTCAAGTCAAATTTAACAAAGAAATTGCAATGCTGACTGTAAACCTTGTTACATGATGTCATGATGAGTATTACATCGAGAATCAATTACCAAAAAAATAGATACAACATTAACCTCAACTGGAAATCAATAAGGACTGTTAACAGCAGGAAAAAATAATGCGATAAACAATCAGTCTGAAGAATTTCAAGCCTATGGTGCTGAATACATGGTCTTCAACAACTGTCAACCAGAGCCCTAGAAGAAGTGATTTTATTCTCTACAATTTATTGCACGCTTTAAACTTGATGTCTTCACAACCTAGCTAATTCAAATTGAATGCAATACGAGGTCGCGATGTTCTCATAAAGAAAGATTATCACAACATAATGCAGTTTTTAGAATAACTTAAATATCTATGGCAAGAAGGCACCATGCAATCTGTAACCTAAATTTCGTAGGTAATTACTGTGAACACAAATTTCGGATCGTATTTGCAATCCAAAAGTATTCACTGCATGAGGGGGAAAAAATGAATGAATTTATACATACAACAGATATTATTAAAAACCCCGAGAGAGGCAATGTGTGGGTGTGTAAGTTTGCTTTAAATTCTGGGAAAAAAATACTATAAAAAGAAAAGAAAAAGAAGAAGAAGAAGAGATTATTATGAAGAATTTGAAGTTTACATGGCTAGGAGGAATATGTTTGCCGCTCAGTAGATCTAGCAACAGAGTTCCAAAACTGTAGACTACACTTTCTGGTGTCACTCTTCCTGCCATACATTGAAATATATACACACACACTTCTGTTAAGTCCAGATTAGAGAGAAACATTATGGAATTTATGTAAAAAAGCTCGGGAAAAAAAAAAAAAAACCCTATTATTTGACAGCATGTTTGTAAAAGTAGGTAATTGTCTGAATCAGTATAATAACAATGAATGAAAAAAAAAAAGAAAAAAGAAAAAAAAAAGATCAGTAGTAACATTAAGTAAGAAGAACATAGTCAGTCATCAATAGGAGTTTGTGGTATTAAATTAAGGAGTCGTACAATGGAACATTAGGAGAGAGTAATTGAACGACTACTATGGCAGGGAACTATAGTGTTGGAAAATCAATTTGGATTTATGCAAGGGAGATCAACAATGGAGGTATTTACTACTTGTCGAGGAGACTAATGGAAAGATATAGAGAGAAGAAGAAAAATCTTCATATGATTTTTATTGATCTAGAGAAAGCTTATGATAAGGTACCTAGAGATATAATATAAAGGGTTTTGGAATAGAAAGTAGTCACAAAAGGTTATATTGAATGATAAAGGACAAGTATGATGAAAGTTTACAGTTAGAACGACGGTGTGGGAACAAGTAAACTTTCAATTAACATAGGCATACATCAAGGGACTAACGAGACCATCCAGGATGAGATTCCATAGGGTATGATTATTTGTTGATTATATTATTTTACTTGATAAAACTAGAGAATGGATAAGTTTAAATTGGAGATTTGGAGGAAAGCTCTAGAATTAAAACGATTTGGGATAATTAGGAATAAAACTGAAAATATAGAATGTAATTTAGTAACTCTAGATATACAAATAGAGATGTGATGAAGATTGAGGATCAAGAAATACCAAAACGTGAACATTTCAGTTATTTAGGCTCGATTATTTAAAATAAAGGAGAAATTGGAGATGATATTAATCATAGAATCAAGGCATGATGAGTTAAATGAAAAAATGTGTTTAGTATTTTGTGTGATCAGCGTATCTCTCTAAGATCGAAAGAGAAGTTCTATAAAATATATATTAGACTAGTCTTCTATCAGCCATTTTTTTCTGGGGGCAGAATGTTTAGCAGCTAAAAAACAACATATGCATAAAGTGAGTGTGGTGGAAGTGCAAATATTGAGCTGGATATGCGGCAAGACAAGAAAGGATAGAATTATAGAATTGAAATTGAGAACAGTTTTTAGATGGTTGAAGCAATACCCATTGGGGGTTAAAATGAAAAAAAATAAAAATAAAAATAATAAAGATAGTTTAGACATGTATAAAGAAGGTCACTAGGTACACTAATGAGGAAGAGTCATATGGTCCATATTGAGGGTAATACTAGGGGAAGGAGAAGACCAAAATTACCATTGGTAGAGTTAGTAAGAAAAGATAAGGTAACATGTGGTTTATCTGACCAAAGAAGTTCCGAAAAAAGGTTTTGTTGAGTTGAGTCAAGTCGAGTCAATAATCAATAAGAGGCAATAACTTCTCATATGACACATTTCCAGCTTTCTTCCAATCCAGGATACACACTAAATGATGGGTCCACATAAAAAAAAGGTGTGGATTGTTGGATTCTAGACTCATCGAGCAAAATTTATTCACCTGTTCTCAAGTATTCTGGAGGAGTGAAAGCCAAGTTCGTGCTATAACTCTTGCCATCTCTGCTATTTTTCATGAGGCCAAAACAAGATAGTCTTGGATTGGCGTCCTGCAGACAACTTCTCAATATAAGAGTGATACTCGATAATGCATATAATGACAAGCAAGCTATATGTAAAAACCACTTCACCTGATCAAACAAGATTCTGTAAGCATTGAGATCATGGTACAAGGCCCGCCCTTTACTACTGCAATATTCTAAAGCTTGTGCCAAGTACAGGGCTACTCTCAACCTCATTGCCCATTTCATGGGCTGGGTCTCCCCTGAGCAATTGAACCGTAAAGAAATTAAAGAGATCCAAGAAATTCGGTACAAGAGTGTGAAATTTATGATTTTCAAGAGATCACGGCACTTCACTCAAGCCACTAGAGCAATGTCATAATAGAGTTAAATCTTTTATGATTGATATTTATATAATTTTCTTAGCAAAAAGTTCTAAAAAAGAATTCATTGAGTCTTAATTAGCAATAAGTCCATTATTAATATTTATTACCACACCCAAGCCACACAATAAATGCTAGTACTTGAGCTCCAACCACATAATATAGCAAGCAACTCACATTTGCCACAAGAATTCACTATATAATGTTTACATTTTATATTGTCACCATACGAAGATTTTCAGTAATAAATCACCACATATAAAGAAGTTAAGGACTCACAGTGAAAGAGATGTTTGGCCAGTGTCTCGTTTGGCATGAACTCTGCGACGAGCAATCTCTCCTCCCCATCGTAGCAGCACCCGACCAGATTTGCCAATCTCTCACTCCTCAAATTCCCCACCGATCTTGCTTCCTCCTAAATTACAACACAAATCACATTAATTATGCCAGAAATCACAACCCATGCACAAAATCAAATGAAATAAAAGAATGAAGTCACTTTCTCTCTAATTCTTTTAATTAAACAAAAGATTGTAGTAACAATCAATATGGGTTCATAAAAGATTTATGCTTTTGGGTTTTAACTAACAATGAATTGGCGAGAATCGGGCCAAGCTGACTTGTTGAATCGCTTAACCGCGATCCATCGATCGTTTTCGAGCTTCCCTTTGTAAACAACATTTGGAGCTTTCTCTCCGTGCTCTGATACAATGTTATCTGAAGAGAACCCACTCGTAGCAGCTTTAAGCTCCTCTAAGCTGAACTCACTGAAGCTAGGCAATGTGTTTCGGTCATTTTTGCCTCCATTCTCTGCAACAATTTCACAAACAGATTGAAGATCAACAGAATTCGTCAGAGAAAAAGAGAATTATAGATACATATATGTATATATGTATTTCCATAGAGAGAGAGACTTGCCAAGATCAGAGGATTCGAGAACAGAGGGTTTGAGGTGAGAATGCCACCAGCAGATTGAGAACTTGGAACAACGAGCACCCATTGCCGTAAAATGTTTAGAGATAGAAAGTGAGATCAGAGGATCAGACGGTTGTTGTGCATTGTTTCTGAAACCACAGTGAGTCAAACTACAAAGAGCTATGAAGCTTCAATTGTAAGAAGAAAAAGATGGGAACAAATGGAGCGAAAAGGGGAATGATAGGTGAGAGAGTGTTTGTAGAGAGCGAGAAAGAGAGGTTTGTGGATCCAATGATTTTTTAAGCTCACTTTTCTCCCTCTATAAATTCCAGTAATATAATAATATATATATATATATATATAATGATTCAATGTAGAGTAATCTCTACCTGTTTCTCTCTCTAGCCTCTTTCTCTCACTATTGCAAAAGAAAAGGGCCTTTTCTCTCTCCTGTCTGTTTTCAGCTTTCTGCTTTCTCTGCGTTTCAACGTTTTCATCATTACTCCTTTCTTGCTTCTCTCTCTCTCTTATTTGGTTACTTTCTTTTCTGGGTTTTTTGTGATATTAATCTAATCTGGTTGCCGTAACAGTGTATATTGGCGGCAAAAATGAGGATGAAAGTCTTTGTATCAACGGTCGTTTAGTTTGGGTCAAAGTCTAATAAATCGATGACGTAGACAACATCCTAATGCTGGCTTAGGTAGAACTGCATTACCACTATAATAATGTATTAATTTGTGTGTTTATCCTTTTCAATTTCTTCTTTTAAAAGTAACTTAGTTGATTAGGTCATAGTCAAAGACATTTTTTTCAATTGTTTATTATTATTATTATTATTATTTTTTCTCGTAATTATTGTTATCATTTTTGCATTTATATTAAATTCATATGAATAAGTCAGTCACATGATCGACGTTAAATCTCTAAACATTTTAATAGTCAATTTACCTATTATAAAATATACTCAAAATTTTTTAACTACTATAAAATATACCCAAAATTTTTTACTATGAAACTCCAACTATTAACCTCCTTTTCAAGGAGGAGATTACATAAGATAGGTTAAGGTTAGGTCATTGTTTTGCAAATTCATTCCATTTATCACCCTTAATTTAATTTCATTGAGAAAGAGATATATACATGTGCATGTATATATAACTCAACTCACTGTACCAACTATTTTTATGATCTGGATCTTACTTCAGTTTATTTGATCTAAAATCATAACCTGAATCAAATAAATACACACATGTAAAATCTTTCACAGAATCACAGCCAATCCAATCGATTGTAAGCGAAGTATTATAGGAATTGAGTTATACACAGCCTAATTAATGGCCCAAAAAGGAAGGTGAGATGAAACATGTAACTTGGGCTGGTTCAAAGTTGGTCTTGGACCTAAATGATCCAATCCAATCCAATCATGGTTCAACTTTGAGTAGGATTTTTTTCATTTATTTTCTTTTCAATAAGTTATATATATATATGTTGAATCACTGTCAGATGAGTCCGTAGACTGTGATGATAAGATTGGATTTCATTTTCATTCTGAGACACAGAATAATTGGGGCTCCATGCCTTCTTTTAATGAGTTTTGTTGACTCATTCCATGAGGAAGGCCTTAATCTGTCCAAAAATTGGTACACCTTTACTAGTCTCAAGGGTACATGTCTACCCAGTATGTCTTATTTTATTTTTCTATGACATGAAACCATCATTTAAAAGGACATGTTCAGGAAAAACACACAGTCACACACACACACACACTTCTGTTTTAAGCTTCTCAATAAAAGAGTGGGGGCATGAAGAACCACACCATTGGGGGTTGTAAACAACTCGACGTGTACCATATTTCTTTTGAGTATGGTGTGTTGATCTTTTGTCCGAGGCAAATACATGTGCATGTGCGTGAACACACACACATACAGTCACAACACTGGTTATGATTTGTCTTTTGGGCTGGCAATGGATGACTTTGTAAGCCTCTCTATCGTTTGACACGACAAATATATATATACACACACAAACGTACTTATGTGTGTATATATATCTAGATTTATCATCCAAAACAATTTAGTTTATGGATTAGCAGTCAAAAGTTGAAAATTTGAGATAATTAAGAGTCAAATTATGCTTGCTCAAATCCTTCATTTAACCAACTGTTTATTGCAAGGTTGCGTAAATATCTTTAATTTTTCTCCTTTTAATAAAGTAATCTATCCTAGGTCTACCCGTCTAGGCTTCAATTTTTTCAATTATGCAGCGCTGAACTTCAAAATTATAGGTGGGGGTAAAAACACCTCTTCAATGAGTCTTTTTTTTGCCGTTTCGTTGAATTTTATTACTATCAATGATCATTTTTGTAAGTATAGTCGTGTGAAATGGACATGTAAACAAATGGTAACAAAATTCAAATAAGTAAAAGTAACCAAAGTTACTATTGATAGCGATGAATTTTATCTACCGGAGGAAATCTTGAAAAAACCTCATTGGAGTGAATTTTGATCATCCAAACGGACCCTAATCGAGATGTTTTACCCAAAACATTGGAACCAAATTGGAGGAAGACGGGCATGCCTGATCATCACACAGAGCTCATGGGTCCACCAAGGGCAAGGATAAACAAAATATGAGACCCAACAGAGAGCACAAGTCATTGTAATGACAGAAAGTGTAATTATTAGTACCACCCATACAGGGTTCAAGAGGACCCCTTTATTATTAGCATGCAAAAGATAAAGGTGTTCGTTATGCACACACACCTTCATCATCATAATTCATCCCTCCCATAAATGAACATGATAAATATATATATATATATACACACACACACACACACATATACATGCATCTATCCATCTATATATATATATGTATATATATATCTTTGTCGACTACTTTTACAGCTGAAATTGCGCCGGAAACATTTTCTTTCGGTTTGAGTCATACAGGTGGGGCATCTCGTACTATTATCTTGCATATAAGATGACCATTATGGGACCAATTTGCCGTTATGAGTGTGTACAAAAACACATGAAAGTAAGGCCACATTGGTAAACAAAAGTGCACAATTAAGCTGTCTACAGCCCATATTTTAATGTATACGTGACAACAAAAAAAGAATAAACAACAAATCATGTTCTAGATATTTTCTTTCATTAAATTCCCTCTAAATGATGGTAGAGTTGAATTTTAGACGAATTCAATTATGAGACCACCTTAGCCTGCCATTTTGGGTTGATGGTTTAAAAATTCAGTTTTCGTTTTTATTCTTCTAAAAAGTTGTAAATTACATTTATGCCTATAGTTAGAATTTATTATACTAACCTCTCTCATATTTTAAATAATTAATTCAACTCCATATGACAAATATATCTTTCAAATTGCTGTAAAAATATTTTTGTTCAATACTTTTAATGAAAAAAAGACTATTATACCCTTAAGTAAAGAAAATTATAAGATAGGATAATAATTGTCTTTTTGACCGAATTGTCTTCAGACAATTTTTTTTTCTTTTCCTATTGTAATGTTGCTATGTTAGCTCCTTTATAAGTAATTTTGCACTATCATTTATCCAGAGCTAATCGCTCACCTGTTCACTGTAACCCTAGTAAGGTTGGTCCTATGAGTGCATAGCATTTCTTTTCCACTGTGATTGAGAGTGAAAGACAACATGGATCAAGCTTTTACCTTCACATACGTTTGAAATTGCTCATCGAGTCATCAGGCTTCTTTTCTCCTTTCAGATCAAGGAATATAGCCATAGCTGTTGTGCCATCAACAGATATGGCTATATACTTTCAAGATTACAGTATTTTGCTCAATGGCCCTAATTCAAGTAACTTGATTAAGAGTAATGATACAAAGTCTAAGAGTCGGACATATCTGACTAAAATTATGTGAGTAAGAGAACTTGATTAAGAGTAATGATAGAGAGTTTAAGAGTCGGACACATCTGACTAAAATTATGTGAATAAGAGAACTTGATTTAGAGTAATGATACAGAATCTAAGAGTCATACACATCTGACTAAAATTATGTAAGTAAGAGATGACGTGATTATGACATCATCATATTTAATGACATTGTGACCGTCTCCCACTCCCGAAAAACTGTCTCCCACTCCCAAAAAACAGGCCAATACATTTGACTTCCAAACTTCTTATCATTATTCCTTGATTGATGACTTAATTTTGCCACCCATCCAGATGTCCATTGGTGGTTTCAATTAAGCATAATACTCGAGTGGCGTCTGAGAGATGTGAAATCCGACTCTCAAGTTTCAGTGCAGTACTACGCTAATGAAATTAAGCCCAAAGGGAAGCTAACAAAGATTAGCCGTTGATGTTGGGCTAATTAGTGCTAATTTAGAGCTCAACCAAGAACTTGGACACGAACCTGACCCGGTACCATATCTGAGGGAGGCACTTTGGTAAGGGCAATTTGAATTTTGAATCGAGTAAAAAAATTGAACAGCTTTTCTCATGGGCATGTCTTTCTTTCTCAATCACACCACGTGGGTCAGCCTGCCAATGTTCTTTTGAAATTGGACAATTCCCTTTTCAAAATAAAGGAGATGGATGAAGTAGGGCGAACATTTCTTTTCAATAAGGGAAGATTTTGTTCACACAAAGAGAAGTCGTGTGATCTTAAATGTGGCCTCCCTTTTTTTTTTTAAATTGGAAACCTTGCTCTTTCATGCATCTGTCTCTCTCTCTCTATGCATATATACATAAATATATATATATATATATATATATATGAAGAGGAGTTGTCTTAGTCCCTGGAAAGAGTATGCATGTGATGTAAGGTGCTGTCTGGTCTCCTCCATTTTAAATGGAAACCTTTCCAACTTACAGAGTGCTGCCCAACATTTAAATACAACTATAAACAAGTGGGGAAAGCGGCCATAGGCAAACAAGCATTAAATTGCATCAACACCCCATGCCTCAATGCTATTGGTCACGTGCTCCTCCATCCACATGATCATTCATCACTGATTGATTGCAACCACAGAAATTCAAGCTCCAACGCAGACCTCTAAAACTTGAGATCAATTCGAAAAGTCCAAAAAATTGGTTCCGATTACACACACTAATCATGTTTACAAACATGTTTGCTCACAAAAACATTTGCATGAGCATGTTTGCAAGCCTAACAGTCTCTACTCCCCTAGCTAATGAGATCAAGAACGTTGTTCGAACTCAGCTTATTTATTTATTGGCAAAACAAACATTAAAGGGTTATAGCCTCTGACAGAATCTCATCTCTCTCTCTAACACCCAAAGCAAAAGGCTGAGGGTTAAATTTTCAAACAAACATACCAAAGTGTTGTAGACCAATTTCTCAAATTAAAAGGTACGAGGGTTAACGTCCAATAGGATTAAGTACATGTGTAAGTTATTTGAGGAAATAAAAAATAAAAGCTAAGAAAGGAATATGAACTAGCTCTTAAACCAAGCTTAATAATTTTCCAATCTAACTTTCCCAGAACCTCGCTATTGGGGGAACCAAAGGGTAATGGCCTCACAGATTTGTTTGGTTTGGTGTGTGTGTATATATATATATGTGTGTGTGTGTGTGTATGTATTTTTTCCCCAGATTTTCATGTATACTGCAAGTGAAGGGATTAACAATCATCACTACAAGGATCAGAACTAAGGAATACAAATAAAAATTTGCTATTGAAAGGTGGAACTAATCACAAAGAATGGCATTAACCAGAGAAGCATGGCCCGAGTGTTTGGAAGCACAACTCAAATTCCATTTCAACTAAAATACAAATCAGGTTTACCAGTCTTCACGAGCATGAGTTGTGTTTCTTTGAAGTCGTAGAGATTGAAAACGCAATATCATTGCAACAACAGCAGCATCTATTATCTACACACCATTCATCACTGTATCAGCATGGACTGTGTTGCCATCTTCCGAAATCTTGCCATTCACTTGAGTTCTCTGCCTCTGGACAAACACAGCACCAGACAATGTCAAATGCCGTCTATTTCAGCAGGATAAAAACTTCTTTGTTTAAGTAGTCAGATGAGGAGAATTTTTAAATTCAGCATACCCGATCTGCAGGATCTCCAGAGTTCCCATTTAGGAGCTTGTGATCCTCTTCTTTCATCTTACCATCCTTGCTCAGTGGTAGCAACAACGCAGCGCGGTCGGGAAGTTCTGTATTAAGACAAGTTGAAAGTCACTATTGGGCTGAAATGCTGACTGCCGAGGTAGAATAAAAGCAACTAATATATATATATATATATATATATATATATATATATATAATTTTAAAAATACAAAATGCAAACCTGGCAGTTTCTGGTCGATAAAGAACACCACTAGATTAACAGTGTACCTGCAGAATCATATTTAATATTTAAATAAATCAGCTAATGATCAGAAAATTGGTGATAAAATTGGAAACTGAAACTAAAATAAAATGCTTTACCATGCCACAACTACATCGACAGTGTAATGTTTGCGGGATGCAACAATCAACAAGCTTTGAGCCACAACAAATAACCAAGCACACTGCTTTATAAACCTGCATAATTACATTGATTCTTCTTTATTCAGTTAAGTGCATAGATACATTAAAATAATTCCATAAAATCATATAAAACTATATAGATTCAGGAGGACGGCTATTTGTCACGGACTTGGCATTGGCGCCTGCGTGGCGTAACATATTGCTCAGGAAGAGCTGAGACATTATGTCAAGTCATGATTTTAATTTGCAAATTCCTGAGTAAATACTTAGGCAAATCTGTGAAACCCATCTTAATCTAAATTGGCAAAATATTCAACCTACTTTATATTTCATCATTTCCAAATTTCAACCGAACAGATAACTCATCTAAGTTTTCAGTCAAACACGGCCAGCTTCTGAGATTAATTAGCCAAATTTCCAATTTTAAAATTTCTTTCACCAAAAATCTCCCATTTCTATTCATTTTGCCAGCCCAAAAGCAAATTTAGTGAAGACTGAATAAAAAAACCCCATCAAACTTGTGTCAAAAGTTCAAACAAAAGGAACACGACACGTATATGATGCTGAGCCAGAAACCTGTAAACTTTTTTTCTGTTTTTTTTTAGAGACATCACCAGTTAAAATCTGTTGGATTAGACCACAAACCTGAAGACAATAACTTATTGAGCTGAAGAAAATCTACCTGAAAAAAACCCAGGAAGCTGCAAGTGTGCAGGATCTAAGTTGGTTGACGGGATTGATTATAATCATCACATATGCATTATAAACCACCAAGTACCCAATAAACTATAATTGTATGAATAGTCCCCATTTCATCCCACATACAAACTTTACATCAAGGAACAACAAACATTTATCATACTTATTTTTTTTTATACATAGCAGTTATCATACTTACAAAGCAAGAAATGGTATAGCCAGTCTAAAAATATATATTTTTCTATTAACCCTCCTAAATTTTTACACTAACACATGTTAGAAAAAAAATTTCATTTATTTGATTGAATTGATGGCCTTCCGCAAGCCAATGCTTCTCTGTTTGCCAGCAACTCATATATGGGTCTCCCCCTCCTCAGGAGGGAGGTACGTCTATTATGTTAAATGTCATGAAAGAGTTATAATACTAAATGAAACAATTCGAGTATTACCTCTGCGTGCCATATTTCTGATATGTGCGCACAAAGACCAGAGAAAATATCATGTGAGATGAGAATATCAAATCACCACATCCATATAATACGCCCCGAGGAACTGCACATTAAACAAATCAAATTAGCACACAATAATGGACCAATTGCAATTACTGAGCCATATGCAAAAGGATGGGAAAAAACAATGTTACACACAATTAATTATTAAGACTTCAAGTAAATTGTCCGGACGGGGCAGCCTGGCAAGCTTTGAACCCTGCATGATACAAAAAGATACTGATTTAATATGTATAATATACTAACAAAATTAAATCAACAACTTCACCAGGCTTGAGATATCTCGCAAACTAAAAATGTATTTTTGCCTCTGATGAGAAATATATATATATATATATATATATATATATATATATATATATATCACGTGAAATCAGATAAATTTAAAACACAGTAACAAGTAACAACCCTATTATAGATTTACCTCACGGCAATGATAGTTTGGACCAGGAAGCTGAGTAGAATAGAAAGTTATTATCCGAAGAAATTGACAAGCCTGGAGTAAACAAACATACACAAAGCAACTATCAGAAAGATGTTGGAATGGTACTCAATACGTCAATACATTCCAAGGAGAATCAACTAAACGTGACTGATTGCCAGAAATCCCTCTCAATATATGAATGTAAAATATGTAGATTTATAACTTCTATATAAGAGGGTAAATATAGGTTGGCTGAGTACACATATGGATCATAATTTCAAGTTGCTGAATAATCACTACAACTATGAAAAATTAAAAAAATTACAGAAAGATGTACACATGCGTAATTATTACATGTAGCATAGTAATGCGTGCAGGTATATACAGTTAGTTACTTTCCATAAAAAAAAAAAATGATGCATAAAGCTGATTCTTTTAATAAAATAGTTGTTGCTTTATAAAAAGAAATAAAAACATGTAAATGCAAAGTGGTTACAAACTGGTTCTTCATCAACTAACTGGCATATTACAAGTCTTAACCCATAAATAGATAGGTTATTTGATTTTGACTGTTTAGTAACTGGTAAAAAATTTAACAAAATTTAACAAATTTTTTAGGAAAACAACACATCTTCCAAATCAGTAACTTATTTTACAAATCCATCATTTATACAACTAGACTTGAACCGACACAAATAAGTTCAAAATTCACAAGCAAAACAATAATTCGGAATACATGAAAGTATTCCTGACTTGCACTCAAAAGTCTCAAATATTGTTGTCACTGATAGCTTTCATGTTCTTCACAAATTTTCTCATCAATCATCCTAGTAAGCCCCAATCATTAATCAATTCAATCCCTAAATTGTTCAAAACATAAATCAACATTGTAAATACGAAAAGGCACTTACAGTTAAACACGCCAGAACCCTGCACCACAGTAGAACTGTGTATATCTTTTTGTTCCTGAAAATGAAGGGATGGAAAGTCCACTGCACCACAACATAATCCACATAAGGGAAAATGAGATTGGAAAGCTTAAATGAGGGCAAAGGAATGAAAAATACAAAGATTATTCACTGGACAAAGTTGCAACATATTCTGTTATCTGGCTACTCTTATTTGCTAAAAATTAACAGTTCCTGGAAAATTATCCAATCTATGCAATAATGCGAGTGACGTGCGACTCCTATTATAGCATTATATGCGGTGTCAAGAGACTGACTTATTTGTGTAAATCCATACCAATTTAACATTACTAATTGTGTCAATATCCTCAATCTGTTCAACTAGTTTTATAAAAAAATGGTAGTTTCATTAAAAAATAAAGCCAATGGGGAAAAAAAACTTGGTTATACATTCCTACATAGAGAACAGAAACTATCTAAAAATTTCCACCAAATTTTTTTTATAATCTAGCATTCGAGAAATAATCGATTGTATAAAATACTTTATCCAATCTATATATATGTGTAGAAACCATCTAACTAAAGAAAACTCACCAAAACGAAGGATAGAAAGATGAAAGTAAAAACACTCTCACTTATGTAAGCCTTCTCTTGCCCAAGCTCCTGCAATAACACAAGCTTAGATTTTTAAAAAGATGCACAATGGTAAACAGTTCATTTCGCATAAAGGCAGGGAAAAAGAAGAAAATACGAACCGGAAGAAGAAAGAACCCAACATCCTGAAGAGTAGGTCCTGGCCGATGTATATAGTGAACTCCTCGAGCAGCCAGCCCGTGAATATACTGAAGAAACGAGAGAGATATTTCACTGTTTAGGCATCAAATATGAATAACATCGTGAAGAAAAACCAAGGAAACAGAATTAAAAATAGTATTAGTTATAATTCTAATAGATATATAAACCAATATATAAAACAGTATGTCTAACAGCTTCACATTCAATAAAAATTGTGAAATATTACGTGGGAAAAAAGTAAAACAGTTAGAAACAAATATATGCTCTTTCAGCCACTTTCACGAATGCACTTTGACCTGCTAAAGTCACATTCAATGTAATTAAAGGATGTATCACCATGACAAATCAGGTTTCAGAACATGCATGTTGAAGTGTTATTCCACCTTAAATGCAGAAATATCAATCGGATCCTAACTTACAGAATGCTCACTGAGTAAGTTGGAGGAGTAGTTTATTCCATCCTGAACAATTTAATCTATAACAAACAAGTATCACACCCTCATGATATAGAAATGCAAATACAAATCACTTTTCACACAACCATAAGTCTCCATTAAACCGTATCATTTGCATCATTTTAGCAAAATAATGAACAGTTTAAAAAAACATAACATCAAAAATCACTTGATCAGAACTATAATTCAACCAAGGGCAGCTATCTGACTTGATAATTACTCTCGAGATTCCAATGTAACCGTTCTAACGGGTTATGCTTTTCTTTTGACAAATTCTAATAAACAAGCTCAAACAAAAACAATATATAGCAAAGCCAAAAAGTTCAACACAGACATGAAAAGACTGTGCATGACTATAACTTCGCCCTAAAATTTGAATATAGGCGTCGGCAGGGGAATAACTTGCATCAACATGATTAAAAGAGAGCAGCATCCAAGAGATGCACACACAGATCCTAATCCACTTATTATACCAGGAAGAAAAAAAAAAATCAATCCAGAAAAGAGCCAAGTGATCTTCTATCTGAACAAGGAAAAATGGACATTATTCGACTGATTTAAGGGCAAATATGAACCTGACATATGAGACCAGCAAGAAGATACTTCCAATTCTCGATAAGAAGGTTGAATTCTGTTGTTGTCTCTGCACAAATTTTCTTCCATAGCTTTTCACCATAACAAGAAACCAAATCAATGAAAAGCCACGAAATAAAGCAAAACAGAGAACTTCCTTTACGCATAAACAAAAAGAAAAGAGGAATTAGAGAGAAGAAAGACGAACCTTTGAAGCCTCGCGACGAATGTAAAGCGACATCTTCTTCGGGGTTGAAGACCAGTGCCATATTACATCACAGACCAATTAAGGTCAACATCATTCATCACAAATCTCTCTCAGAACCAAATATCATCACACTAATCACAACTTCAAATAAAACAAATCACCAATTTTCTGCAATCAAGGGCGTAATATCGGCAGAATCAACAATTGGAAGCGCGATCAACACAATAAATCAATGAAACCTAATCACAGAGATCGAGAAATTCACAAGCACAATGGCTTTGAAATCCTGAAATCTGAGATTAGAGCACAAAATCGGTTCGAATGGCAGTCGAACACCGCTACTCTATGAATTCAGTCCTTCTCTCTCTCTCTAAAACTCTCTCTGAAACCCTTTCTAGAAGTATCCGCTCTCTCTCTTGTTTGATTTGTGTCTCCTGTGTCTGCTGAAACGCGAGTTGAACACGGAGCGATAGTTCAGAGAAGGAAGATAAAAAGAGGGCTTTATTATATGTATGAAAGATTGCGCTACGCGACCCCCTGCGAAAAGTGGAGGAAAGAGAGACTGCAAAAGAAAGCAATTCGTACAAAATAATGCCTATATAGGCGTTATTTATATTATGTAATTATATGCTTAGATCGAGAATATATAAGTTAAATTAAGTTTTAAATGTTTGTTTTTATTAAAATGTTACTACTATTAATTAATTAAAAAAAACAAGGCAAAAAGCAGATATTCTCTTTATCGTTTGTGCAAAACCAAACCAACAACCACCTGTTTAAACTTTGGGGATGTGGAGGGCGGCACTATTGTATCGAATCAAACTAGAGAGAGAGATCCCCGGCTTTGGCCTGCAATGTGGAGGCCAATCTCTCTCCACTTTCTCTCTCTAGGAGTTGGTTATAGCCATGTTAAAATGAGTAGTCTCTTACTAAAACAGTCTTTATCTTATTTGGAATTTTATAAAAATGAGATGATCCTATTTTGAAATTCAAAAGTTCCTTACTTCAATCTATCCATAACCTGAAAAATGAGTCTTGATTTTAGTACCATAAATAATGTAAATTTGATACTTCTTTCAATTTTCACTCCTTAATTTGAGAGAGTGAATTATTTAAAACGCGTTTTGGTTGTTAAGTATGATTTCATCGAAAAGTGTACAATTTTTTTGTTTGACTTACACTAATAGAGTATAATCAAATTTTCTAGACAAGTTAATGTTAAAATTTATTAAAACCACTTTGAATTAAACCCAATTCAACTATATTATTACCTTATTATTAGTAGTAGTAGTAGGGAAATGATATTAATACTCTAATTAAATTTTTTAATATATAAAATGACTAAATTATTTTAAAAATAATTGTAGAGTGTGATTCATTTTAAAACAACAGGTTCATCATTTTTGTTTCCCTTTAAAAAAAGGCAAGTGGAAATCTATTGTGTTTTTTTTTTTTTTTTTTTGTTTTGGCTGAGTACTGTAACATCATTTTGGGCCAATACATATTTACTAAATAATGATTTCTTTTGTACAGTACTAAAAAGTTTTATAAATAATGGTTCAAAGCAGAAACTCTAATTCCATATTTTTACAAGTTTGTGCACAATATCAACAACACGGTGGCGATGAATACACTTTCAATCACTATTAAATATAATATACGAATAAAATAAAAATATTATTTTTGTTTCAAATGAAAAAAAAAAAAATACAAAATATTTCTGATTACCAAACTTTAGACGTCTCTCACTTTGCTTCAAAGTATATGCATGTTCTCACATGAGCTCGCTCAAATTTTCTCTCAAAACTGTGGATTCGAAGCGAGAAGGATATTATTGCTTAGAGAGTCAAATTGAGCACATGGTCAGGTCAATTTGTTGAGGCATTGACTGGTCGTAGTCTTGGACTCAAATTATATATTATGAGTTATATTTACTCATGAACTAATTATTCACAAAATTACACATTACTTAATCATTAATATTCGTACTTTATTTGAATACTTATTCAATTTTTTTAGATTTAAAAAGTAACTTATAACTAAATTGATCTTAACGATTTTATTTAAATATAATCTTGAAAAAAGAAATTCAAATCTTAAATTAAAATCCAACCAAATCAAGTGGCACCTCCTAAATTGAATCAATACAAATTGAATTTCTTTTTTTCAAGATTGTATTTAAATAAAATACAATCCAAATAGTAACTAAGCTTAGCCCAAAATCAAGTTGTAAATATTTAAAAAACATGAGTATGTAATTCGACCCAACATAAAATCATGAGCTAATAATTATTAGCACTAGTCCAAAATTAAAACCTGACATTTAAAAGTACCTTTACAATTCAAAATATATAGCCGCCACCTTTTTTTTTTTTTTTTTTGGGAAATACAATGATTCAGAATTTGTATGTCAAGAAATTCATTATAAGTGATTAGCTTAATATCATGAATTTAAAATTAGAAAAAATTTAATTTAAATTTTATAGTACATTTTCCTTCATTCCAAATTTAAGGCTCCAATTTAGTGGTGTCAAACATATCATAAGTATCAGTGCACACAACATAAATATATATATATATATATATATATATATATCTTTCATGGATTCTCTGACCCATTTAATCATTGACAAAGCTTTCCTTTCCAAAATTTCAAATGAAGATTGGCCGGGTCAAACCCACTGAAACAGACAATCCTTATTTGTGATTATAGTGACAAACATGGTGGTTGAGAAATCTTCAATCAAGAAGACTATACATATACTACGTATATAGTTAGCACTGAAATTTTGAATTATTCTTAGAGGAAATTTTCTTTTGATGCAACTACATGCTAAGAACGTTCAAACAATATATATATATATATATATAATATTAGAAAAATTAATAAGATTCAAATAAATATTTTAGATAAATCACGACTCAACATGTAAATAAATATCTTAATCTGATTTTTATTCAAATTTTTATTTATATGTCGAATTGTGATTAATTGAAATCATAAAATCCTTTATCATGAGTGGCTTTTTAAATTCATTCATAAAATGATGTACTTCTTAAATTAACTTCATTGCAAGTGTATGAACAGGAATGAATCTAGGATAATGAGTAAGGGGGGCAAAAGTTAATTTTTTTTACAATTTCAGAGTTAATGGTAAATTTTCAAAAATATATAATTGAAAATAAAAAAATTTACAATTACTTAAAATTTTTTTTTGAAAAGACAATTGTTCCTACTCATTCCTTTTCAGATCCGTCCGTGTGTATGAACACAGTTTACACTGCCTATAAGCTATAACATCAGTAATATATAAAGTATATAAACACCTACGGTTTGTGTATTTACAAATGTCACGGGTATAAAATTATAATAGCTAGATTGGGATTGTGTTGTCAATTGACTGATAAAGTTTAAAAGCTAAAATTTGTTAAGGATAGATGTATGTCATATTTTATAAATGTGTTCACTGTTAACACATTATTATATTACGTTGAAGAAGATGAAAGTGGATACTTTGAATTTGCCCCTTTATATTTTAGTCAACGGTCAATGGTCGTCATTGCCGACGAATGGGACCGTTTTGTTGGTTAAAGTGACTCACTGAGTTGGAAAAAGAAATCATATCCATAATTATGTGACGTGTCATGCAACTTTAATACATACGAGTATACAACCCATACCTGTTTTCTATCGGAGTTTGAATTCGATGAGAAATCTGAAATTTTGAAATACACAAATACAAAAATTAGTTTTTTATACTGTCTGATTGATACTATGTTAATTTTTTTAAATATAAAAATAATGAATTATCGCTTCGAAACATGTCAAATTATATTATTTAGTTAAATATAACTAAACTAAAATCTTAATCGCACAGAAACTATATGGGTTAGAAACTCATAATTCATTTTGACTAGGATTAGATGTCATCCATTTATCATATTTAGTTTCAGCTTAGCAAATCTAAGGAAAGCATGGTCTCAGGGTACAATTGGGTTGGCAGAAGTTCATGAGATAAGTATTTGAGATCTCGTTTTTGAATAACACTCCTAACTTAAATAGTACGTGTGTTACAGGGCCAAGATACACGTATTCTAAGAAAAAATAAAAAAAAATAAAAGGAAATCGTGGTCAAATTTTGGGTGGATTAAAAGTCTATAGTCCATTAATAGGGTATTTCCAAATGCATCTCACATGGATTGTGCTTGATGCTATAAGTTCAAGTCTATCCAGCTTGTTTAGGATAATTCAGAAAAATATATAATATATATGTGTAAATCATACTATTTTTACAACAAACTTTTAATACCAATATGGAATGAAATTATTTCTACACAAAATTAAGCATGGAAAAAATCAAAATTATTCTTCTTATTATTATTATTAGTTAATACAAAAGTCGCCTGTGTTTAACCCGTACGGGTGGCCCAGTGATTAACGAGCTAGGCATAAAATAAATATCTTGTGCAATTAAACATATTATTACATACAATGAAAGATTCTATCACTCTGAATTTCAAACTTTTTGTGGTATTTTCAACCTAAACAATTAGACTTTTTGTAGTATTTTCAACCTAAACAATGCCTCACCGTAAATCCTGGAACTTAACTTCATTACCAAATAATAATAATAATAATAATAAAATACATAATTGACATTCTACCCAGATATCTCAAATCCGGGTTTTATTTTGATTTGTCTGAACTTGAAATGTAAAATACTCTTAGCATATCATGCGTCTGAAAGGTGTGGAGATATGAATCGGAATCTCATCCCTTTCAAACCGAGGATGCGTGGAAGGGATAAAAATCTTCTTCTCTTTTCTTTTTTTTCTCTAAAAGTTTAAACAAACGCACACACCCACCCAGTATATATATTGTCTCCATCGAGACCCGAATACTCGACCTCTCCGTGTAGGGGAAATAACTTATGCTATCTGAGCTAGGCTAGGGCTCATTGATCAAGGAATTGTTGGGATTTATATGCCCTGGCATAGCAAATTCCTATCTGGATTGTATTGACATATGTTCCTGACATATCTGAAATATTTATGATTTATATAATTGGTGAATTCAATGTATTATGTTTCAATTCACTATGAAATTGATAGTGTCCAGTTAATTACAAGAAATATTTATATATATGTATGTGATGACAATCAATGCATGATATATAAATAGTAATTATAAATTGTTCATAGTCGGTAATTATGGATGGACTCATAATTAATTAAGACTTGAACTGGATCCGCATTAGGTTGAGATATATTGCGAGAGCCGTCGTATGCAATTACTCCCTATCACCGTCATGGCATTTGACTCTTAAGCATGAGAAAAGTATAGACTCTTTTATTAATTAATAATTACTTTGATTTGTTCGGCGGATTCTTCGGGATCCTTAGACCGACACTTTGGGTAGTTATGTAATTAATAGTTAGAGGGTTATATTTTCAATATTTGCATCATTGCTACTTGTATTTATTTTGTATTGATTATGGTTGATCACAAAGTAAATTCGAAGGCCTTCGTGTGTTTTTAGACAAAATAATTTATTATATATTTATTTATTTAAATTATTATTTTTGTCAAACAAATGTTTTATTGTGATCGAATCAGAAATAATCAAAGGTACCAAAATAAATATATTAATTAAGTAGTCGGATTGATGGCTATATTTATCCGATAACTAATTATGCATAGAGGGGTCAAAGTGCAATATTGACTTAGAGGTTATTTATTATTTAATTGGAGTTCAATTAATTTCTTTTAGTGGAGTAGAAATTAATTTATGAATTAATTGAATTGGGTCCATGGACCGGGCCAATTATTAATTCATTGTAGCCAATAAAATAATAGGCCCAATGGATTCTCACTCATAGCCCAAC